CCTTGTAGTGAACCAACAGTATGGATTTGTGCGTTTCATATTAAATAATTTGGAGACTCAATTCCTCTTTTCTCTCCCAGAAAGAAGGAGGAGGGGGGTTTGATTACCAACCCTCTAAAGACAGCCGAAGCGACCCCCAAAGGAAGGGGGATTGAAAGGTCGCTTTCCCTAAGTGGTATTCCTTGGCAGTTGATCGTAAAACTGGCCACCTTTGGCAACAGCCGAGATAAGCCTCTTGGTGCCTGAATTGTTAAAATGACAAAGAAACTAACCAGAGATTACAAACAGCCTATCGAAACTCTCCTTAACCCCCTAACCACGCAATCCCCATCCTATACTCTATTAATTGCCAGCTTGAATTTAAGGTTAAGTAACTGAATTTCCCAGCTCCTGAGAAGATTGTTTTAGGATTAATCAGAGTTATCCTCATGTAACCTGAGCTTCCCCAAGTGGACGAAATAAGTATTACATGCCATCGGCTGAAATGCCGTTTAATGTATAAATGTCACTCGGTATTTATCATGTCCAATAATCTGATGCCATTCATGTGTCTTGCTTATATTCTCTAAGAACGTGTAACAGCCAATATATCCATGAAAGCAAGTTAAGTTCCTCTCCTCTGATATCATTCTGAAATGCTAACCTTTTAAGGTCTAATTACTGACAATTGTTTTCCTGTTACCAAATGCTTAAACTTAGAACGGTACAACCGTTTAACAATTGAGGTTTGATTGTGGGAAGATATTTGATTATAATACGCGCAAATAGATTTTCTTTTGTTTTTTTTTTAGACATATTAAAAGTTTAGAAAGACAGTCCCTCGGGAAACTGGATAGGCCCGCCCTGCGAGGCCCGCCCTGCGGGAAACTAAGGACTGCCCTCTGGGAAACCACGCCCCAACCAACAAAAGCGCAACACACAACGTCGCTCTCTTCTCTTGCTCCTTGTCCTCTGCTTGTTCCTGACTCTTCAACGGCGCTTCGGCACGCGCCCGGCGTGCCCCTCTCCCGGCAACGCCCTAAGAGTTCGGCCCGGCGCAGCGAACGGCATTTATTCGCTTCAAGCTACCCATGCGAAGTGCTGCGACATCAGCTTTTCCTCATTTAACAGCAACTTTACTTGCGTTTTATTTTCTTTGGTTTTGTTTTGTTAAAAGTTATCAGTCCGTTAAGTTACACTAGTTTAATTCAAGGACGACCAAGTTCTTTTTAAGCTTTATTCGTCGAGCTAACTTCACCGAGGACAGACCCAGCTACGTGGTCTTGGCAGCGGCAACAAAGGACACCTGAAGAACAGCCGAATTGCCAGACGGAGGACGGCCAACCCTTGAGGGTTTTTCTTCATTCCAGACATGGAGAACCCCGGAGAATTCCCTAGCCAAAAGCCAGGAATCGGGCAGCTAGCATGGGACCCGTGCAACAGGCCAAGGCAGGCCGCCGACCTACCGTAAGGCAAAACAAGGCATTCTGTGGCCAGTGATGTCCAATAGTTGTTAATCCATGATATTAAGTCCTTAAACCCCTAGACAAATTTAACCGAGTTATCATCTAATTGCATTCATTAGCTGCCGTATGAGTCAAATTCTCCCACAATAGATCTCCCTTCTCATTGTTTAGCCATTGTTTATTTCTCTGATGTATTTAACCGCATTTTTATATCACCTTAGTTAGCTAATAAATTCACTGTAATCAAGGAATTGTGTGTGTTGCCTATTTCTAAGTCCCTGCCAAGAGAATTTACCCTTCAGATGAGACTGACTGATTGATTTAAGATAATTGAGCGATTATTAGCTAATTGATCACTAGTGAATAATTGTATAATTATTAAAATGCTACCAGAGGTCCAGAGACTTTGGGTTAATAACAACTCCGGTGGTGCCCCGAAACAAGATATTTATGGATTAATATTTTCTGAATATTAAAATTCATAATTGGGTATTCTCATAAATTTATTAAAAATATTACATAGCTTTAGACCTGCTACAACCTGTACTTTAACGCCCTGCACCCGGCCCTGTCACCACTCTTAAATGCCTCCTCCTTGTCCTTAGCTAATTGTTTATGTCCAGCAGATGCAGGTGGTTTGAAATGTCAGCATCAGAAACGGAAAAGCTACTGTACTTCCTTTCCAATTATGGCCTCATTGTGTGACAAAACAAGTCACTAAACAAAATTTGCTGTAATAAGAGGGTAGTTTAATAGGAAAATTATGTATCATCAACATCCATTTTTTTTAAAAGGAGGCTATCTCATCATTAAGGGTTTCGATCAGCAATTGTAGTTGTACTTGGAACTTAACATGTTGGAACAATTAGGATGATTTACCTCTTTTATTAAGAGCAAGTGTAGAAGAAACACACAGCGCAGTCACTTTGGGAACAATTTGTATGTGTCTGAAGCATTTCGATGCTGCGCTTTCCTGGAAAGTCTGGCAGCTTTCACACTGAACCTGATAAAAGTTATAATAGCACTGTTGACAAAAGGTCAGAGGATCAACAAAAACATGAGGAATCATCCTTTGGAGCTGAATATTCACACCAAATTTCATGGGAATCTGGCCATTACTCATCAGTAATATCTTGCTCTGGACCAAACGGTTGGACAGATGAATGAACAGATGGACCAGCAAAGCTATTCTTAGAGTACTCTAAAGGGGAAAAATGAATTATATAAAACTTTTTATTAATTTTAAATCCCAGTGATAAAGAAAAACATCTAAACCAGTTAGCGTTTTCCAGGACAATAAATCAAGTAAATTTTATTTGTAGGGGAGAGCGGGGTGAGTTGGCCAATATTTACTTCATCTTTAGAGTGAGGACATGATAGTGATGTGATGATTGATGATTGATGTAATATCTACAACTAAAATATTTATAAATGTATTTTAGGATGTGGCCATCCCTAATTACTTTGGATCTAAAATTAACAGTTTTCTACCTTTCACAACATTTCATTGCATTTAATGTATCGCTTAAAGTCATCCTGTTGATTTTCATGTCCCTTGCCACCTGACATATGGACTTCCCATTCTGTACCGCTTCCACTTATCTATCCAAATCCACTAGAGGAGTGGAAGCCCTGTCTGTCTTCCGTTTACAGAAGCATGGCATGATGGTTTCTGGCCTTAATTTAATGTCACATAATTTCCTTTGTAAGATATAAGAATGCAAGGTAAAATTACATTAAAATAGCTGGCTTAACTTCCAGGTCTTTTGGCTCAAATTACTTAATCACTGCCATTTTAACAAACCTGTGTCATCCAGCAGGTTAGGGTAATTGTTTAGACACAACTCACTCGTTGAACATAAAAATTTCATTTTGAACGGCAAAAAAGTTTTTTGAACTTAATTGTGCTCTTCACTTATTACATGGGCCTCTCTCCATCATAGGGTGGCTTAACGCCCCCAAAGGCTCAAATCCCCCCTCTCCCCTATAGCCCCAAATTACAATTTTGCCTGAAATGGTCTTACAGTCTGTCCCAGGAAAACCTCCAATGGAAGGCTTCCAGGAGGCGTCCTTACCAGATGCCCGAACCACCTCAACTGGCTCCTTTTGATATGAAGGATCACCAGCTCTATGCGTAGCTCCCTCCGAATGTCAATGCTCCTCACCCTATCTCTAAGGCTGTGCCCCGCCAACCTTAGGAGGAAACTCATTCTCATTCTTTCGGTCATTACCCACAGCTCATGACCATAGTTGAGGGGAACATAGATAGACTGGTAAATCCAAAGCTTTGCCTTCTGGCTCAGCTCCCTCTTTAACACAGTGGCCCAGTACAATGGCTGCATCACTGCTGACACTGCACCTATTCGCCTGTCAATCTCACACTCCATTTTGCCGTCACTCGTGAACGAGATCCCAAGATACTTGAACTCCTTCACTTGGGAATCCACCATGGCCAGACTTGGAGGTGCTGACCCTCATACCAGGCACTTCACGCTAGGCTACAAACCACCCAGTGCGTGCTGGAGGTCACGATGAAGCCAACAGAACCACGTCATCTGCAAAAAGCAGGGATGCGATTCTGGACTGGATGGTCAAACGACCCCTCAACAACCCTGTAAGGGTAAAAAGCTTGTCCACTGTTGCACAGCCAGAATCCCTGATTGCTCCTCCTGAATCTGCAGTTCGACAGCTAAAATATTTTACAATGTAAAGTAGTTCAAATTAGCTAAACTAAATTCCATAAACTATAAACTAAACAAAAATCTACAGCAATAATATTAACCAGAAAATATCACGTATGATACTAAAACACTGACAGGGGACACAATGAGTACATTTAGCTAATAATATATCATTTTACTTAAAGAAGGTTTTAAATGCAGGACTTGTGCTTGTAATGGAGTATTTTCACAATGTGGTATTAATTAGTATTTTTCACTTATTTGTATTTTCAAAGTTTCACTCATCTGCACATGGTGGATTTACATATTGAATTGGTGATCATTTGCACCTGTTTGGTTTAATTGTTTAATCGTACACCTGACAACGTGCCTACAAAATCCCTGACTGTGCGCAAGTATACCTAGGTGGTAACACAAAATATTGATTTGATTAAATTTTTCTTCTGTTCACTCACTTTGCATTTTGTTCATTGATAAATGTAATTTATTAACATGTCTATTTTGAAAGCATTCTTACTTTACAGCATTATTTTCCACACCTGCCTTAAACTCTTGCTGCATATATTTCAAAGTCAAAATTCTTCCATCTTGTTTTTATTTCATACTTGCTTTGGCAATGTAAAACGTATCCCATGCCAGTAAAGCCCTTTTGAATTGCATATTTACTGAAAGGATCTGAATTCTTCTTCTGTCACTGGGTTAAATAAAATAATAACAATAATACAACATTAAAACACAGGCTGAGACGCACCTCATAAATTAGTGTCATATTGAGGGCATAACGAGTCCCCCCCCCCTCTCCTCCTCCTCCTCCTCCTCCCCCTCCCCCTCCTCTGTCTCTAATTGGTCAGCCTCTGACAGGATTACACGAGTTTGCTCAATTGAACACAGTGAAGTCAAACGCTCGGACATCCTGCTGGAAACTCTTGTGGTTTTGAGTGAAAACGAAAAGGAAGAAAAGTCAACCACAGTTAGGCTACTTAGGCTACTTCTCTACGACGACATCTAAAGCGACGGTTGATCAGATGTGTGTAGTAAATGACAGCAGTCGACAGGTCTGCGCTGTGATCGCGGGATTAAATGTTTGCTGTGCTGATGGTCTCTGCTGCTGCTGCTCGCCCTGCAGCCTGCAACACTAACCACTAATGTGGATTCTTAATACACGCCCGCATTTCAGTGAAGCTGCTCGTCAATTTACTATAGTTTAGCCTACAAGTCGTCATGATGACTCGGATTTTCTGGGATACAATTTTTCTCATTAGCGGTGAGTAGCTATAATTTAGCAGGAATACAAGCATAATTTTGGCTCGTCATTTTCTGACCAACATTTAGATACATTCAGTGATTAATGATTTGAGTTGAATGAGTTGTATTGTCCCCTATTATGTTATCTAATATTAAATCACTTGATAACTGTCTGACTTGCAATGACAACGACTACAATACTCTTATATAAATTTGAAGTTGTTTTTTTTTTAATCTATGGTACTACATATTATCTCCATATTGTATTAGTTGTATTGATACTTTTTATTGTATAGTATTTTGTGGTGCCTCTGATTCTTAAGACAATATATTTAAACTATAGTGGCCTTGTAATTTTGATGTATTGTCTTAAACATTTGTGGGAAATTACCTTACTTGTTATGCTCCTTAAGTTTTTGTCAGTTTTCTTTTACAACAAACCACCTTTCCTGTGTTTATGAGCTGGTTTCTGTGTCTAGATTGTGTGTCTTCAAGGACATGCTGTATTTATAGTTCTTTGGTCTCATCCTTTTAGTGGATGCTTGACCCTGTTACTATTGTTGGGTACCAGTTACTCAATGAAGCATCGATATCACAGTGAAGGCCTAGTCACATGATCGTAACTGTACAGTGGCAGATTATTTGGGTTAACCCTCAGGTTGTTCATTATATAGCAAGTATGACACCTGGGTTGAAATAAATCACAATACAGTAATATGTATTTTTTATATTCCTATAGGTACTTTTAGTATGTCTGTGGTACTCGATGGTGAGTTACAGTAAACTTTTTGGTATTTTTGTCATTATATTCCTGCAGGGATTTGTTTTCTCTTCTATATTTTCTCTCATCAGGGCCGTATTGTATGTTAACAGCAGTTTATTTTGTTCTCTACAGGTTCGCTCTTTACATTCGGAGCAGGGCCGAGCAATTCAGCAATTATTGAAGCCAGCATTTCCCTCGATACAAACTCCACTGCTGCTCTGAACACCTCAGCAAGCAGCTCTGCAACCACCAGCAGCAGAAGTACAACTACCACAACCATTGCAACTACTACAACCAACGTTCCTCAAGTTAAAGGTAAGTCTCTGCACAGTCACGCCGTGTCCAGATGCACATGAAGGTTCAAGCTCATTATCAAGCAATCTCCAGAAAAAAACAACTGCAAATGTTCTCAAGGCCTTGATCCACTCTTACTGCAGTGCTGCCTCCACAGCAGGTGTTCTTTATCTGATATTATATTCATGCAGGGATTTAATGTTATTTCTATTTTTTTCTTTCATTGGGACTGTATCAAATCTCAATAGCTGTTTTATCTTCTTCTTTGCAGCTTCCCTCTTTACATTTGGAGCAGAGCTGAGCAACTCCACAATTATCGAAGCCAGCATTTCCATAGATACAAACTCCACTGCTGCCACAAACACGTCGACACACAGCTCTGCAACTAGAAGCACAACTACCACAACGAATGAAACTACTACAACTAACATCCTTGTAGTTAAAAGTAAGTCTCAGCGCATTATGTCATGCCAAGATGCTAATGAAATTTCAAGCTCATTGTCAAGCCATTTGCAGTTTTTTGAAAATCTCAGAATCTCAGAGAAAACATGCCAGTTGTCCCCATTACAGCTCTTGATCCACTCTCACTGCAGAGTTGCCTCCCTTGCAGGAGTTCTCAACACTGTAAAGCTTCCCATTGAGCTGCAGTGCATCAACACATGCAGACAGTGTGGCGCTGACTGATAATTGATCCTCTTAGCGTGAGTAAGGGCCGCAATTGTGGCAAGTGAAAGATTATGAGCAGTATATTTGAGCAGTATATTCACAAAAAGCTGCACCTATAGTATTAAACTATTATCTGAAAAGCACCTTACGTGCCCTAAAGGCTGCTTTTTGTCTCGATGTTCCTCTGGTTCGACTGCCAGAATCACATGGAACGAGAGAGGGGTTGGTAGGCAGATGCCTCAGGGACAACAGAGGGCTTTCACAGAGTCTGAAAGAAGGAAACAATACATGTAGGCTGCAATCCAAAAGCCCATTTACCGTTGGAATGGAGTGTGTGACTAACGCTGTAATGCAGCTATCTGTCTGGATGTTCATCCTCCTTCCCACCCTGAATGTCACACTGAGGCATCTGTTTCGGCTGCTTGGGAAACACTGACTTTGTTTGAGTCAGTTATGTTGGAATTTGTCTGACTGTAAGAATGTCTTGTTTAGTCTGGGTGTTGATTTAATCAGATATTTTTGTCCTGAGTGGAAACTGAGATAGTTGCTTGGAGCGGTGAGGGAGCTGCATTTAAGATTTTACTTTCTGCTAAAGAACTACGGGTCCGGCGGGGATGTGCTTTCTCCTGAGTCCTAATGTGGGTTGATGGACAGAGGTTTTTGTTTGCGGTGTGTTATCAAGACTTTTCTGGACTCTAATTGTCCCTCCAAGGTACAGTAAGAGATGTAAGCCACCACAAATCCACATGCAACTGGTAACAAAAGGCTTCAGTCAAGGGTTTGCGGCGTGGGTGTCAGCTTTAGGATTTAGTTCATGCTGTTGTTTCAGCTCGCCGCGGGCTTAGGCTTTTTTTAGATTTATGATATTCACCTGTGTCATGTTGACTAAGTGCACTTGGATAACATTTGGTATTGTAATTTAGGGTAGAATACATGCACTTGAAGGGCTAAAGGTTGGTGGCGCTGTGCCATCATTTCAAGTAACCCACCTAAATATTAGTGGATGCTTTCTTCACACTGTACTCCCAAAGAGAAGGGCCACCCAACTAAAATTGTTTAATTTGCAGTGGGTTGATTCATGGTCTGAGAAAGAGCAAAAACACCATCTTAAACTAAAAACAACAACAACAAAAAAAAAAACTATGTACGTCTCTCTGAAAATGTCAACATTATCTTGTCTCACAGAGTTTGTGGCAGCGGCTGTTCGGTCTCATTTTGATGATTGTCCAGACTCCCACCGCCATTTCTGCTTCCACGGCACATGTCGCTTCTTGATATTAGAGGAGACACCTGCATGTGTGTAAGTAATACAGCTTTTACCAATATAGGTGAAGATACTCAGAAATGAATCTGAGACACTGCACTAGTAATAACAGACATTTCGCATGTACACAAGAATATGTTTCACCGTCTTCTACGTTGGCATTTTAAATTGTTATGGTACTTTAGCTATTTAAAGCACTTTGGCACTTTTCAGACTGGCTTTGCTGAGAAGTGAGGTCTGGAATATACGTTATGTTGGAGCAAAATGCTGTGAGACGTTAGTGAAATGTTACGATCCAAAGCTTGAGTATAGTAACAGCACAGTTGTGCCAGACAGCAGAAGTTGGGGTGATATTGCTCCGTTTCTTAGGAGAAACCACAGACAAGTGAGGGAACAAATTACTAAGGAAACCACCTTTCACAAATCAGTGTTTTATTTTCAAAATGATTCATGTACAGAAAACATGAGCTGTATGACATCACATCTATGTTTTAATGTAATATCATTTAATATGACTGTAAATTGTGGTGGTAATATCATTAATTGATATAATATGTCTAGACTTTAATTGCCCATGTTTATTTGCAGTTCCTCTTGGTTGTTCACTGGACTGTATATCTGTGAATTTATTGTTAATCTACTGGAAAAGTAAACTCTTGTTGCAGTTATATTACTACAGACTGATATTAGAAAGATTGTATTTCTCTTATTCACTTATTGTCCTATTGTATGCGTACCCAATTTGATTTCCGGTCCTTGTTGCAGGTGTCATCCGGGCTTTGTTGGGATGAGGTGTGAGCATGCAGACCTGCTTGCTGTAGTAGCGACTAATCACAGACAACAGACTGTTGCCACTGTGCTGGTGTTGTGCGTGATTGGGTGTGTTCTCATCATGGTGTTGTGTACACTTTTACAGTAAGTAACATGCATGGCACATGTCATATTTTGATAATGTTTTCCCCGGGATCGTGTAGCAGGCCCAGCACATTTTTAATCTAAGGAATGAAGAAATGGACTTCATGTCAGAAGGATTTTCAGGATTATGAGTACTTAAGTCTTTTCTTGTGCAGTTTCTGGTGGAGGCAGGACTGTCGCAGGCAGAGCCACGCACATCACTACGCCCCAGAGAAGCACAGAGCATCCTGCTATCCTTCTGAGAGTGGTACGTTTATCTATTTTTTGTGTTAAAAAAAGATTATTTCCAAAGTCGCATATCTATTTACTTAGAGTTCAGAACATATGTAACAGTTGATGACAGTGAATTGTAGACATTGATATTTTTTTATGTAGATTTCCAGTAAATACTACATACATTGCTTTATTAGGCATAGAATACAGAGCTCTATATCCGCAGATAAAGCATGTAATAGAGATAGATGGGATATCTGTGTCCCTATTGCGGAGGAAAATGATGTTTTGCATGTACACAAGGTACAAGGCTGGCATTAATTTGTATTTCCTGTTGTCAACAAATCCCATGAAAAAGGCAAAATCAACAACGGGTCACAAACATATGGTTTCATTATCAAAAAGGATTTTAAAACTGCTGGCACTGTAGTTTTTAGCAATTGTTACTCAAACAGGAGGAAATGGTGCATGTGTTGGGACTATTTACAGCTGCGGAGTAATCCACATTTGGTTCGCTAGTGAGTCTTTCTGGCAGCAGTACATGTGTTTTTAATGAGTTCTATGACACAGATGAATGAGCTATATCAGGCTTTGGAAACAATGCTCATTAGTAGGATCAATTCACTGTGTTTTGTTTCTGGCCTTGACAGTAATCAAAACAAAAACAAACAAAAAAAAAAAAAATATATATATATATATAATATATATATATATATATATATATATATATATATATATATATATTATATATATATATATATATATATATATATATATATATATATATATATATATATATATATATATATATATATATATATATATATATATATATATATATAATATATATATATATATATATATATATATATATATATATATATATATATATATATATATATAATATATATATATATCTATATATATATATATATATATATATATATATATATAATCTCAATGATCTTGTGATAATAAAAAACTTACCTGTTTTTATTTTTCCTTTTTAGTGGTTTGAGAAGTCATCTTGCTGGAACATGAGCCGTTTGCTTCACGCCGTGTTTAGTTTTCCTCATCCGTCCGGCCCACAACCCCTCAGGGATACATCCAAAGTGGTTTTCACATGTCCTGGTCAAACGGACCTGGCCACAGGCAAAGAAGCGTTATCATCAATGTGGCTAAGGTAGGCCGGCTGGATGTGGGAGGTTAAATGTTCCGTGACACTGACTAGGAACGAGTTTGCTTCACTCTTTGATTCTGTGGAAATGCATGCAGAACTGCAACATGCTATTTGAAGCTCTGAGGACGAAGCTGATGCCAAATCCTACATGGGAAGAGCTCCGTGTGTCCTGATTACTGTTTATGGTTGGCTAGAGAACATGAGAAATGATCGACAAGGCCATTAATCATCTGCATGGATGTTGAATAGGAACGGTGTTTAACAATTCATTTACTAAAGTCAGAAGACCCCCATTCCTATTTTGTCTTTTAATAACTTTGAGCACTTTTCAGCAGAACTCTACAAGCACAGAGGACATTTTTAAGTTGGATAACTGATGCTTCAACCAAGTTTTAGTGTCTGTTTTTAAAAGGAACTCACTTCACCTGACAGGAGTAGGAAGTGTTAAATGGGCTGACGGCTGATGGATTAAAACCCTGGAAATCAGTAATTGTACACAAAGCTAACCCATAATATTGCTCCAATATGTTTTGGAGAAAGAAATCATCCAATGATTTGTTTCCAAATGATTCGATGACTCCAGTATTGCTACGAAGCTGAAATATTTGTCAGTTTTGTCTTTTTATTCCTGAGCTGTACTTGAACTTGTTCATACATCAGAGGCTTTTGATTTGCAAGCTATAACTGTAACGACACATGAACACCTTGGGGGGGGGGGGGCAGGTTATTCCATGGTCTTAATTGTATTGTTGCACGTCTGCAAGCTTGCTGCCCATGAAAAAAAACTGCACTCACTGCACTTGAAAAAGTGTCCACATAACGAGAGATGCCAAATACACTAACTTACATTATTCTTAACTTTGCCTGAAAGAGCACTGAAGGGAAGAGGCACTCAGTTTGTACACAGCCACCTGAGCATGCATGCACTTAAATCACAGCTTGTGTCTTTTTAAAGAAACACAAAACACTTTTTTTTATTTCAATAGCGGTGTGTTATAGCATTGTCTCTGCTTTGAATTTAAATACTTTTTTAAAGAGAGAAAAGGCCTCTGAAGGTTGATTTTTAAAAGACAATATTTATAATTGTCTTAAAAGTCTGAAATGATAATTGGTGAAGGAATACAAAATAATGATTACAAAACTGACTCAGATATAAAGTGCGTATGAGCTTTGTGTGATAAGCCACCATAAAACGAATGTGATGGTATTTATATGCCAAAAGACTATGAGGGGATGATATGCTTGTCTTTGTTTACATTATGGGATGATATTTACATTCAGAATGTGTATTAAAGTTTATTACAGCATTTTATGTGTAAATATCAAAACCACAGAAATTTTCTGTGTGTATATACATATACACATGTGTATTGGGTGTCAATCTGAAGAGGGTGATCTTCTCATGCATTACTTTGTCAGACTTATGTTGTCACAATTGGGAAAACCTCTATTATGTGCATTTGTTTTCCAATGAAGAATTAAAAATGCAAGTGTGTGTGTGCATATATATATTTTTTTTATTCATGTGCTTCATAATTGCTGCATCTTGGGAGTGTATTATTGGACTCATCGCGTGACCTTCTTTTCACTTCCGAAGCTCTTTGCCTGTGTTTTTTTTTTTTTTTTTTTTTTTTTCTCGCTCTCTCTTCAAATACCCCAATTTTCTGAAGCTCTGCTCTTCTATTTTTCTCTTCCACTGAATATTTCAAGATGTAGAAATGCCAGCATGAAACCATGAACCCCGGGCACTATTGAACAAAGAGCCGAATTCTTGAGTGCTTTTATAGCCGAAGGAAAAGATTCAGCCCTCTTCTACATCTGTACTTTAAGTTTCTTTCTTTCTTTGTGTTCTTGAGTTCACAGAATGTATACCCATTCATGTTAAAGCATTTGTTTAATGTGTTAGACTGCGCCACATGCATCCTGTTTTGTGTAATTTCCAGTGCATGTCATTAGGGTTGACATCTTCCCTCTTAACGTGCTGCATCTCCTCTGCTCTTCCCTTTCGCTCTCCGCATGAGGAGCTTCGTCTTGTTTTGCAATCCTATTATGTCTGCAATTGGATTTCTGTGGAGCCCTTTAGAGCCGTCTGGCTGAGCTACTAAACCAGCTTTGAATTAAGCAGCTCTTGTGGGTGCTTCCCTAAAGATACACAATACCCTTTAACATACAAAGGAATGCAAGGGGAAACCCATTCAATCAAAAAACAAGGCAAAGAAAAGAGAAATTAAGACTTATTAAAAACTGGGTGTTGATTTACATTTTGGGACATACCATAGATGGCTGTGTGTTAACATCAGGAAATTGTCTTGAATTCTTTAAATCTGAGTTGGACAAGTGTCAATTGCTATTCCCCATAAGAGGTTGAAGCTCTGCTCTGAATTGCAATGCCATTCTGGTCTTTTTTCCCCCTCTTCGCTTCCTCTTCTGGCCCTATTGATCCTCAACCCAACATTCCCAGTATCTGCCTTTGACCAGATGGTTTAAAATAAAAGTTTACTAAGGTATTAGGGTTAAGCAACCCTGCCTTGTTCTCCTCGCTGCTAAGCACTGAAACAAATGATTAGGAATAATGACAGCTCAGAGCGTCAGTTAAAAGTTCAGTTCACATGGTGGTGTCATGATATTTAAATTCATGTTTATAAATTGATGATGACGGACGTTTTGCACTTTTTCCTCAGAGTTTGACTTGTTTCTACCCTTGCTTCAGCTCCGTCCACCAGGTTTAAAGCAAAGGTTGGCATTTTTGCTCATGCCCATGTGGACATTGTAAGTGAGTTACTGGAAGCTGTAAAGATTTCCTTTTGTCCGTACTGCCTTCAAATGATTCCCTCTTTGTGTTTTCCGCCCTGGACACTTGTGGTAAAAGAGACAATTTCATACTAAAAAGACAGCAACTTTGGAAGATCAACTCGTGGTTTGACAACCTCTGACTGCTGAAGCCTCATAATGGGGGCAGCTGAACTTGCTGTGATTATGAATTTACAAGAACATGGTGCAAATGCAGCAGCAAGTTTCTAATGACCTTTAGGGAAAAAAGTACAATAGTGGGGAGTTTAATGTATTTTAAAAGATGATAATTTATGATATTCAGTCAAGCTCACAAACCGTTATATTATAATCGAATACATTGAACTGTATTGACATGGACGAGCCTCCGGTGAAAGATGCACAAATAAAGTTAGTTCCAAAAGGCAGGCAATGTAACATTATCATGGAACAAGCATAGATTAGTTCAACCTCAAACTGATAAAACTATTACATTGCATTACGTTACATTGCATTTATTGCAAGATCTCTGTATGAAAGCGGTTGTGTTTTGGATTATGCTCACTCATGAGTTCAAGCGAGTACGCATACAAGCACACTGGTTGCAATCTTAAAACCGCACCGCTTTTGGGTGCTGAAAACTCCATATTACCCCATTAAACTCTTCATATGTTTTGTGTGTAAAAATGTTAATTTGTAAAGTCACTTGTAACAGAAGCTGCCAGATAAATGTAGTGAAGTAAAATGTACAAATTTTCCCTCTGAAATTTTGTGGAGTAGAAGTAGAAAGTGGCACGAAAAGAAAATACTCAAGTACAAATACCTCAAATCTGTACTTAAGTGCAGTATTTGAGGAAATGTCCTCCAACACTGATTATGACGTTGCAGTGTTGTCATTATGTTGCTGTTACACTTGTATAAGTTTCAGCGCTGATGATTGTGGTTTCTTTTATGTTTTAAATACCTTGTAAATTTGGTCATCAGGTGAAAGACGGACAGTACAAGTGGTAAATACTTATTGCTCCCCATTTTTATTTATAGTAAAAATAAGTACACACTGTACATGCAGGTTTTATAGTGCATCTTCTGATTATTTTTATTTTTTCTACAAATTTCTGTTAGGAGCATTTCATTTGTTAAACATGTAAAGAGCTCTAAAGTGATTGAGGCCACAGGTCAACATGGCTAAATCACAGAAAAGAGTTCCTTATCTGATCCACAGTTAGGCTGAGTAGCTTTGTACTTGAGCCCATGACTGGCATTAGTCCACATGGTGCTGCAGCTGTGATGGCAGCTCCTCCAGGGAGCAGAGCCGATGCGCTGGAGGAACGTCATGCTTGTTGTGTCTGTCCAATAGGAACCCGTGGATGCCCACAGACCGAGAGGCGAGGTAGTCATTCACATAGTGGTCCCCGATATGAGCTACACTAGCAGCTGGTACACCACACTTCTGCAGCGCCTGATCAAAGATATTGGACTCGGCTTTGCCGTACCTGCTTCCTCTGATGTTATCAAAAAGCTGAAGTGAGACAGCAAGCCACAAACACGCAAGATCTCTTCTAGGCGTTTGTCAAAGTTTGATACCACACCCAGCTTCAGTCCCAGAGAAGAGCAACTCTCCAGCGCCCCCTCTGAGTCCGGAAATACCTAAAACAAAGGGACATTTTCAGTGCTACTATGTTTACTATTGTAAACATTAATATAAAAAGCTAACACTAGCAGTAAAAATGCTTTACAAAGCAAACTTATTAAACAGATTTTCAGTGATCGCAGTACTTTCAATGAAACCTGCTTATTTGACATGTTTTCAAACAATTTTCTAAAGAATGTGTTGTCATTGTGGTGTATTATTTAACGGAACAGCAGGTATTTATAAATAAAATGAATGAAGAAATGACCATCTTATTCATTCCATGTGCATGCCACATCTGTCATTTACCTCCCAGTTCTCTGCATTGCAGAAGTTATGATATAGGTTGTGAGCCAATTTATTCAGCAGGGCTGGGTCCTGTATCCTGCACTGGAAGAAAGTGTCCCGCACCACGCAAGTCCACCAAGACCGTCCATCCAGGCCCTGAGTGATGCCGTAGTTTGGGTATCTGCTGGAATTATGTCGATATGCCTTGTGGAAAGCAGCTTCAATCTCCACAGGACTGACGCTCAAGCCCATTCGTTCAGCCTCCTTGCAGTATTGCTCTCCCACGGAAGAACGCACCTTCAGCAGGGTGTCTTTCACATCCCACAGCACCCATCGCAGAGGAGCTCGCATTACCTACAGAGGAAATATCATAGATGTAAGACTATATAATTTCCAAGCAAAACTTGAGAAAATGTGTTTAGTAAATGTTAAATGATTTAGATAAACCCAAATGCCTATGTCTAAAATCACTGGACTAGTTACTACATAGTACACTGTACTGTAATTGCTATTTAGAAATGTTTTCCAAATGTATAGTATTCTAATCAAAGTCAAATCCTATAAAGTGAAGTTAAATATTCCCAGTCTAAGTCAATGTAAAAAGTAATGTACAATAGGTTCTTTTCTAAGCATACATTTTGACTTGTCATAGTAAGAAAGGCACAGGTGTTACTTATGGCATTAGCAATGGCTCTGTTCTATTCACGTGTCCCACTAAGTCGTGACCAGCATGGACAACACCAGGACTCAGCTGAATTGAATTCCGCCAACATTAATTTTAATATTTACTGCTGTTTTTTTTTCTCCTGTGACATATTGCCAAAATGTCTAGAAAAACCCTGTTGTGTGTCATTGGTTTGTGGTCATTTATTGTTCCACATGTTTGGGAATATACACCACTAAAGCACATTATCAGCTGAAATGATAAGGGCCTTAAGGTGGGTTCTGCATTGATATCTAGGCTTCTTGTCTACCAGTCTTTTGTAGGTGGGAAAGCATTCTTCACAGAAGACATTTTCACTTGTCATGGAAGGAAAATATCAAGAGTTGCTATAAATAACATTAAAGGGCATGCACACGAAGGGCATGCATATGAGTGGTCGACCGATATGGGTTTTCCAATGGCCTATATTTAGAGATCATGATGGCCGATGTACATAATGCCAATATCAAAACAAATAAAAGTCCATGCAGAGTACAATCTAATATGTATAAAAATACATTCTGTTATGATGTAGATTTCAGAATGTGAAATGTGTTTTCAGGTGTTTGAGAGTAGGGTCATTCAACTACATTATTCTGTACAGTATGGCATTTAATGCTAGTCAGTAATGGTTTTAGATGAGATCTGCTGTCATTTAGGAGAAATGCCTTGACATTTAGAAAAGACAATGGTGACTGAAGAAATTTAGGGCTTAAAACTAACTTTTTCACCATCTTCCCAAAACTCAGGGGGAGCACTAACGTCCTTACACAGCAGCCACACAGAGAGGCTGCCTGCCAATGTATCCACAGATATTTTCTATCGGCTTGTAAGGGCATTGGCCGATGCAGATAATCTCAAAATGCCAGATATCGTCCCGATTAATCGTCCGACTCATAAAATCTGTCTATCACTAATGCACACCCACACAAGTGTTTTCAGTTATTCTGTTTGATTAGACCATTGCTTAGCTTGATGTGGTGTGCAGCTATGCTGCTAATTACATTAGGTCATTGGACTCTTAAGTACAAGAAAAATAATAAAGATGTGAATTGTCCTGCATTAAAAGGTGAGATATAAATCAGGTAGATTAAGTGAAAGCACCTGTGTGGATGGACCATGGATTTGTAGTAGCTTCGACGTCGATGTTTTATTCAGGTGTCATCATGACAGTGAGCCAGCAATACCAGAACCCTACACTGAAGCACCAAAGTGGAATTCAGCCATCATCAAATGTTTAATACACACCTATGCTTTTCCTACTGTGACATCTTAAATGTCTTTGACCCCTACCACCACACAAAACTGTGCTTTGCTTTCTCATGGACACGTCTTGCTCACATTTGAAGGTAACATTATAACGTTAACTGTTAACAGCGAACCAGACAACCTGTCATGCTAACGTTGCAGATTATCACTGAAGGTTAAGATCCCTGCTCGTGCTCATTAATACACACACACGTAAACTATGTCACTTAACGGCAAGATGTCGTCATCATGGTTACACTTTTTTGACCTTTGTTACCTCCTAGCTGACGCTACGCTCGTTGATTTTGTATTATTAGCTAACGTTACTTGTCAGTCTCTTTTGCACACGAAGCTATAGACAACGAGCTAACTACAAAAGCAGTAACAGTTTAAACGTTACCGATGTCAAGTCTTCACAGCTGTCAACGGCTGTCACCAAGGTTAGCCACAGTTTAACGTTAGCTAACTGTTACCTACTGTCTGAGTTCTTCGTTAGGATGTTTTACGACAGTTGTTGCCATTTTACGTTTTAGATTCTTCGAAGTGCATTGAATCCATCTCTCTGAAATTAATCATCCGTTTCTAACCAGCATAACCCCCGCTAAATGTTTTTCATTATCATAACTGTTAAAACACCACCATCACCGGTCTACTCACTCACGGTTGTTGCGCAGTAGTTGTAATGCCTGTGATACATCCAGCCCAGCAGGCGGCAGTATGATCAAAGTGGCTAACGTTACATGTTGTAGCCCGGTTGTGGCTTCACGTGCAGTGAAGCCAAGTGGAGCAAAAGCAACCCTTGTTTTAGAACACTGTTAACCTCGTGAGTAAGTCTTATGAGATGTAACCTAACACAACTTTTCGAAAAAAAAATCGGGATGACCTGATGGTCAACACAATGGCAACTCCAGCCGTTCAGATGTTTCGGAGGTTAGAGGGTTTGTTTTGTGTGTACAAACCCTCTGGTGTCCACTGGAAACTCGTACGGGACAGCATCGAGACAAATCTTCTTAAAGGTGAGGATAACATGTCTTTTAAAAACGTATCTTATGGTCCTTCAAACACACTCGCAGTTTCGTTTCTATGTCTTCTGTGACGGTGATGCACCCAGCACTGCCTTTAACCTTGGTTTTCCAAATAAATCACTATGTCCTGGTAACCCATGTATCTTGACACCTTTATAGGTTTAAATGCTACGCCCTCCCAGCCAGTTCCTCAGGAGGTCCGCTTCTTGGCACACCTAGACAGCGAGACTGAAGCACCCAAGGGACTCGCACTGTCTGTGGCCTCTCTGCCAGTACTGTCCAAGCATCCTCTGGGTATGTGTTGTCCACTTCACAGCATATCTTCATTTCCTGGGTCACTTGTTCATACCTATGGTTCATACACCCCATTCAACTCAATTTGTAATTTACTGACACAAGTAATGTGAGTTTGATGTTAATAAACATAATAACTTTGTTAAAATTATTTTTATGGTGGGCCACTGTTCTGCCATTGTAGACACGACTAGGCAGGTGGACAGGAGTGAATAACTGATTGAACAGATAAATTCATAGATTTATACAAAGCATTCACTGCAAAGTCATCGTGCATCATGTTTTGGGAGCAAAAAATTCAACACGCTCCGTTTAATTTAGTTTTCTCTCATTTTACCTCCATGGTCGTATTAAAGTAGAATTTAAATGAAGTCTGGGTTGATGGCTCATGAGTGACTTCAGAAGTACAGGTTTATATCAGCTGGAATGACATTGAGGACTGTCTATGAGTGAATAAAATGTGTGTTTTCTGTGTGTTTTAGTGACTGGACCTGAATTCCAGCATGTTAGAATTGGAGTAGGACATCGCCTGGATGCGTTCTCTTCTGGTGTCCTAGGTATAATTCATTTAGAGCTGATCAGGGGAGAAAACCTGTTTGTTTGTGTTGTGAATGTCTCTTTTTCACACCTTTTTTTTTCAACTTTAGTTCTCGCTGTTGGGAATGGAAACAAGGCCCTGAATGATCTCTACAGAACACGAGTCACAAGGGTAATTTGTCACTTCTGCTGGTTTTACATCAGATGTACAAATATGTAAGAAAGATATAATATCCACAGGTTTTTTAATGCTGTTTGATATGTTTCAGGATTACACATTGGAGGGTGAATTTGGGACTGCAACAGATGATTCCTCTCACACAGGCAGAGTTATTGAAAGGTCCACCTATGGTAGGATAGCTTTCTTCCTATATGTGTTCACTTTCATCAGATCATTCACTTAGTAATAGTTTTAGATCATTATATTTGAGAAGTAGTATTTTATGTAAAGCAATTCTCAATGCCTTTACGTGAAGCAATTTTCTACACAGCTCAATATATACAATAATTTTGTCCCTGTTATAGTGTAACTTATTTCATGGGCAGATTTCATATTCATCAGTTTGTTTCTATCTAGCATACTACTATTTGTAAATGTGCGCTTGTGCCATTTCCACCTTTTGAATGGAGGGTCATGTATTAATCACTGGCCAAACCTCACCTAAACTCACTGCATCAGTTGTTGTGCCTTTGACCGTATCTGACCCTAAAATATGTCTGTGTTCAACAGGTCACATCACACAGGATAAGCTGGACAGAGTCTTGGCAATGCTGCAGGGAGCCAATCAAAAGGCCTTGTTAATGTATGTAACTACATTTAATGTTCATTGCATTTCTATAAACAATATTGACATTTTTCATACGTTTCTGTGTATTAAACATTTTCTTCTCTGTGCTTAACTTTTCAATAAGATCCTGCTGAACATGTAACACAGTAAAATGATGAATGATTATTCATAGTGCAGGTAGATGACTGTGTTTTTCCTATACAGGTATTCCAACGTAGACATGCGCTCGCAGGAAGCCTATGAGATGGCTGTGCAAGGTTTACTGGGTCCAGATGGGAAATCACTGCCTATTTTGACAGGCTTGCGTTGCATTCACTTCCAGCCCCCTAACTTCACTTTAGGTAAATTTTTTAGGTGAACACACAGAAAAACCTCATTTCAGGATGCTTACTGAGCTTGTTTGTTGTTTTTCTCTGTTCCTGCAGAGGTGCAGTGTCTGAATGAAACTCAGAAATATTTGCGCAAAGTTGTGCATGAGATAGGACTCGAGCTGCACAGCACAGCAGTGTGTAAAGGAGTTAGACGGACCAGAGACGGCTCCTTCACCCTGCAGGATGCCCTGACTCATCACCACTGGACTGCTTCGGATGTTATGCAGGCCATCAGACAATACCACTCCTCCAAAAGAAATAAAAAAAAGTCCCACACACAGATCAACGACTCAGCATTACAAATACCAGAAGAGAATACAACGACAGCCAGTCAACAAAATGAGACCAGCGAGGAAGCAGCAGCAGGTAGAATGAAATGACTTGTCGCTGGTAGTTTATAACAACTGCTCTAGAGTGACTCTGAGCTTCAGCGCTACATCACTTTGAGTTCAACTCATCTGAAGGGATGTGAAAAGACCAAAGATCTTGGTTCCTAAAGGAGAAAGTATCAAATTGGACACGATTCATTACATCATGTCCAATTGTTCATCTTGCTTTTGTTTAAGATTCTCTCCAACTTGCTGGATCTCACATGAATGTTACAATGTTTTCACCTTTTGTTAAATGTTGTGCAGGTAATATTAAGTTATTCCTCAAAGCATAATAAGAAAGTGGTTTATTTAGATCATGAAATAAATTTACAATGTAAGAGATTTAACAGTGCATTACTACAAAGTGGTTGGTGCCATGCATTAGAGGCATTTGTGTGACATATTAAGTTAAATCAACACTCTTGATGGACTGCAGATGAGATGATGCAACTGCTTTATTAACACAAATTTCCCCCTGAGTGGCAAAATGTTCAAAGATACTTCTATTTCAGTTGCTTTTGTAGCATTGTTTTATGGTCTAATGCACCTGTTGAGAACCTTCTGATCCCTGCTGTGCCGAATGTGGGGAAAAAAGTGAAATCAACAGACAGCTGCCAATCAGCTCTCCCACTGTGAACAATAATAGATAATAACTTTAACAGTACTCCTTACAGCTGGTTTAGAAAATAAAACTGTACCTGCAACCTTGTGCCTTGACCCATTTAAAAGGTTTTGAACAATTTTACATTCTGTATTTTCCTCATTTTGTTTGGGGGGGGGGGGAGAAAGAACTTTGTAGTTTGACACTAAAATATTAATTAATTATTAAAAGTTCTTCTTTGTATACAGTATGTTGAGTTAAAGGTTTGATGCAGATTTAATCTTGCATGTTAACTGACCTGCTGTGTTCTCACTAAAAGTCTAAAATTAATTTAAATAATTAATTGGAAGTTTACTTATTCCTGTAATTAGTACCAAATTACATTGTTCTTTCCAGGAAACCTCTTATTTTGCATAAGTATTCATAAATTACAGCAGTAGTGAAGGAAGTGTTAAAATAATGTACTTACCAGTAAGTAAAAGTTCCAATACCAAAGAATAGAAATACTCCGTTACATGATAAAGCCCTGCATTCCAAATGTACGTAAGTAGAAGTACAGAAGTATCAGCTTTAAAAGTATTCAATGCAGAGTGGCTACTGTTAGTGTTATACTATTATGTTATTGGATCATTAGTATTGATATATTAATATGTAAGCTGTATTTTAATGTTGTTGGTCAAGGTGGAGTTAATTTTAACTGCTTCATATACATATATTTGGCAGTTTAATCTGTAATAATGGGTCATATTTTGTAAACTGATTATTTTGTATAGAGTACAGTAGAGTAAAGATCCGAGGGGCAATTTGTCTCACAATATTAGTCAATAATAAATAAAAAATAAATAATACTCAATACAATACACACAGTACACAATTAGTTATCTTGTCACCAGAACCATTGAAAGAGCAGGAAAAGAGGGCAAAAATGGGGGCAACATCATGGAGGCCCAGTCCCATTTTGTTTAAAAGCCAATAGCTGATGGAATAAAAGACCTTTGTAAAATCTTAATTTGAAAAGACCACTAACTATAACTCTTAAATAAAGGTAGCGAAGTAAAAGTACGATATTTCTCTGGAAGTATTGTATAAAGTGAAAATACTCATAAATACCTAAATATTGTACTTGAGTAAATGTAATAAGTTACTTTCCACCACTGAAATACGGACCCATAAAACAAAGCGTATAACAAGCTTTTAATCATATCAGATATGGTGTAGTCGTCTGTGTCCTCTGAAGATGCCGCCTCAGCGTTTCTGTTCCCCACAAAAGCTCCTTTGGGATTTTATATGGTTATTGCAGTGGTGCCATTGCTGTCATGCTCTTCATACCATTGAAGGACTTGTTGTTCCAGTGGGAACACTGTTGTCTTTGTCATTCTGGAAACACACAACTTCCATGAGGACACAAATTAACTTCGAGAGCACGTGGACGTTCTGGAGGTTTATTAAGCATGAGACATGATGTCAGAGCTATTGATTAAAGGTATATAGCAAGGGAAATGCACACAAAAATAATTTGATGTATTTTTAAAGCCCATTAAATACTTTATGACCACTGTCTTTAATTATAGAGCCATGAAATGTATTTATGGTTGTCTTGTCGGTCTGGCAGCTGTGTGACAAATCCAAGTATGCCATTCATTTAGAACAGATGGTAAACAACATACAAAATCATTTTAAATGTAATTATTGACAAAGGCTGTGTGCTAAACGGCTACAAAAATGAAATGATGGGCTTGTTCACAGGCACATTGCACAAGGTGCTTGTAACATTGAAATGACAAAAAGTAACATTTATTATATAAATATAATCTAAATTTGCCAGTTAAGATTCAGCAACAGAAAAATTTAAAGATATATACACACACACATTTAATATATATTTGTGTATAAGTAAAATTATTAAGGTTAAAGTATAGACAGTGTTGAGAAACGCAGTTATACAAATACAATAAAGAGTATTTTCTTTGTGGAAACTTTTTTTCTGAGGACCCAAGACCTGAAACAGAAAGTGCTAAAGTACTAAAAGTTTAGTTTCCCAGAGAGATTGGTTAAATACATCAAAGGGAAGATTCATGTTCCCGAAGGAAAATCCTTGACCTGCCTCTAAAGAAAGCCCGTACCAGCTGTACAGTATAGTATATACATAAAGGTACACAGTATGGACACATCAAAACACCCTCTGGGACTTCCTCTCCCAGTGAAATTTCTGAAAATGTGCCATTTCAAAAAGTATATTTTTTGCAACTATAGGAATATCATACTTCAAGCTGTCATCTGTTGTCCTCTAAATTAGTAATTTTCTCGTGAGGCTTGGTAGAAAGGTTAATGTCAAAAGAAAATTTAACATATATTTGCATAAATTCATACAATTTGTAATAAAACAGATTGAAAGAACCAAAGATGGTTTGAGTCCCAGTTTTAAACCCGCATCTGTTCAGCAACATCCTGATGATTTTTTCTGTTGGGGCTCCTTGTGTAACACCATTGCTTCCTCTCTTGTGTCAGCTTTTTGACTCAACATTCTGGTAACAACACAACAACAACAAAACAATCAGTTGCAACATTACAGCACAGAGTATAGTACAGGACATGCTTTTGAAAAATACACGGGTGGGCAACAAAAAAATACAAATAGTCTGTGACAGTAAAATGTGTTACCTGGCCATAGTTTCCAAAGACTGAATCACGTTTTCACCTGTGGCAGCGCTGCACTCCATGAATTCAAAGTTGTACTCCTGTGAAAAAACCAAAGGTAAAACTGCTGCTTTAGTGCCTTTTGATAATCACAAGCATTTACCTATATTCTAAAAGTGCTAGAGGACGTAATGCCACAAATACCTTAGCTAGAATTTCCCCCTGCTGAGTTTTAACCTGACGTTCTGCATGATCACTTTTATTCCCAAGAAGTAAAATGGTCACGTTTTCTGCAGCACCTTCCTGTAAAAAAAGACAATAGTTTGATTATTGTAGGTTAAATAGGTCCCATGTACTCAAAATCCTAGAAAATTCTTACCACAAGAATTTAATTACCATGTTTTATTTAGTTTGCGTTGAACAAATAGGTGCATACTGAAAATGAAATCCTTCACAACGATCAATATTGGAATTGGAAGTAATGTTGATGCATATTTGACATTTTTACGTTTATATTCCTTCCTACTGTAGGTACACAGTTAAGTATATGTTTAGACATTTTTACTTTAGACTATTCAGAGTAGGTTCTTGAAGAATAAATCAAATAAATCAATACATTTAAATCAAACTTAGATACTTTTGTGGTAGTACTTTTAAATTTGAATAACAACAGTATTTTTCTTTTTCTTTAAAAGTTAATTTATGACTGCTTTGTGTTAAGAAATTCAATTCTGATTCATATGAAATGTTTGTATGGAAGCCCTGAGAGGCAAGTGAGAAAATAATCTGTCTATGTCCATTTTTTTGTGATACAGGTGGGAAAAAGTGTAGTAAGAGTAGTGGTGCACTTCAGCCTTTTGTGCCCGAAATGAGTATTACAACAACACAACGTTTTTTCACATTCTTAAGTCATACACCAGAGGTCACTAATTAGCAGGCCGCGGTCCGGATCCAGACCCAGCTGCCGTCCTCTCCAGACCAAGACCAATAGCCCATTTATTATTGAGAATTACTACCTTGTGACGGAGCGTTTCTATTTTAACCCGCGCAGCTTTTCTAGCATTTACTGTACTGGTTTAGCGGGCCAGGAAACTCACAGACCAATTGCATGTGGTCCAATCGTCTCATGTGATGCTACTCAGCCAATCTGCATTCCGATAAGCATTGCGAGTCGAGTTTTTAACCAAGAAATGTAGCCTACACATTCTTACATGTACATCCTTCCCACGGACTGTTCAAAACAAGAATATCTCAGATATCTCCAATCCTAGCTGGCAGACAAGCTACAGCTCACGTTTCTTAATGAACAAGAGAAAGTAGGGAAGTGGTAGCTATATAAGAGGGAATGAAAGAGAGAGCTTTTTTTTTTAAACGCAGCCCTTAGTTTACTTTAATTTAGAAGTTATTATTTATTATCCCTCCAGTTTGATGTGAAAACTGACAGTAGCCAAAATATTGTTGAAATATTATTTGATTTGACCGTCAGTTTTTGACTAAAAATATATGTTGATATAGTTATGGTACTGAATATTAACCCAAATTAGTCGTTATGATGTTCCGGACCTTTGCTTTTCTCTAACTGGATCTCTTTGAATTTTAATTGAATACCCCTGTTACACACAAAGGAGAGAATCACAAGATTTTTTTTCCTCACTTGCCTCTAGTTCCTGAAAATGCTCTCCACTACACACTAGCCACACATATAAACACATTGTAGCAAGTTTACAGTCTGTCTGGCCTTGAATCAAAACCTGTAGTTCAACATCTATAAAAAAAAAAAAAAGGCCAAAAAACTATTCTACAGCCACTGCAGCTTTAAGTTCACCATACCTGAATACAGCTTGCCCAGTAGCTGATGGCAGAAAAACTCTGAGAGGAACTGATGTCATACATCAAGAGAAATGCCTGGGCTTTATGGAAAATCTGTCTTGTGATGCTGTGAAACCTTTGAAGGATGATAAAGAATGTAATCAGAGACAGGCTGCCACGAGATTTCACATTTTTCTTTTATCCAGGAGAGGCTTAACTTTACACATTTAGCACCATTCAAAAGTGAACATCACTGTAAAACAGCCAGAAACATTCGGCAGTGACAAAATAGTTAGTTGAGTTTGCAGAGAATTCCCTCAAGCGTTTCTTCTAGAGATGCTTTCTGGACATCTTTCCTCCAAAGGATGATGATGTGAACGCAGTGACTCCACTATTGCTTCATAAATGAAGTCGAGTGACTCTTACTGTAATACAACACACATTATGTTTTTAATCCACAAAGTTAATGTCAGACCTGTCTTTTATTTGTGATGTCCTTTTGTTTGTGTTTCGGGGTTTTCAGTTACCACTGCCTGCGCTAACTCACATTTACAATATCTTTGACTGGGTATAATAGCAAGCACATAGAGGATGTTATTTATGTAAGCATCAAATCTTCTTATAGTAAGAATGGGATGTTAGGACCCTAAGTAATTTACATTGATTTAAAATTAGTTTGAATGAAAAAACTATGATGATTTGGGGTGCACATCTCAAGATGTATTTCAACCAAGCTAATCTAATACATCCACCAAAAAGCCAACTAATATGTGAGTGAACATGTGGGCATCTACACACTGCGTGCATGTTACGCCCACTGCTGCAGCTGGGACCAAATCTGTTGTTATAATTCCAGCATAAAAAACATTGCTGAGGTGTGCCAAACCAGTTCTGAAACAGGTTACAACCTGACTGACTTTCCAATACTTGAAAGAGTGTTTTGAACACATTGTCTGGCACATGTTCAGGGAGGCTTCTGTCTGCAGTAATTCATATTTACAATATCATTGACTGGCTACAATAGCAAGCGCAAAGAGGAAGTTATTTATGTAAGCATCGTCACATGTGCTCATCAGAAGTCTTGGCTGACTGCAGAAGTGTACACACTGCTGAAAAACTGGAATGCTGCCTTTTAGACCGGGTGACAAAGAAAGCCTTCAGGACAGCGAGACAACCTGTCCTTTGATCAATTCGCAGAAAATCCACTGCCACTTCCAGGAATACAAAGATGTGCAGACGTGCATGTGGCAACAACTCTAGTAATCAGGAAGTGCTTCAGGACGTGTGTGGCACATGAAGCAAGGTGCATTTCTTTTTTCATGGCAGCTTCAAGATGAACCAGAAGCTACCTCAACAGAGCAAGGATGAGGGACCCCAAAACACCTAAATAGCTGGATTTTGTTTATAAACAATAACACCTCTACATAACATTGTCCTTTTATGTAGAAAAAGGACGGATGTGGACATGATAACATCATGGTCGGAAAGCATCATCTTCTCATGTCTATAGCTTTAGAGAGTCACTCATTTTCACAAATATGGGCTGAACTTTTTAAGATGAGAGCAGGGAAATGTCGAGTGGCTTTGACCCTGTCATAATACGTGTCCATTGTATCTTTGATGTCCCTCTTTTGTCTTTCTTTCTTTTTTTTTATTTTTTTTTACAATTCTCCTGCATGTAATATACTGCAAGGATATCACCTTACGGAAGTCAGTCTATCTGTGTGCCTGAAGAGGAACACACTTCTAAAATGGTTAAATAACTTTTCAAAAAGCTGGGACCACTCATATTTATTCTCTGTAATACAAAGTGCCTTCACCTAGAGTTCATATGTTTGATTACAACAGCGATAATTGTGTCTCAATAATGTAGTGTGAAAGGAAACAGGGAACTTACCTTTCTTGACCTGCTGTATCCCACAACTGTAGCACCACAGGTTTTCCATCCACTACCACTGTCCACATGCAGGAATCAAGTCCTACAAAATGTTTTTATGTTACATTATTCTGTATATTTACACACATTTATGGGAATAGGATAGGATAAAGGTCAGGTTCTTACCAACAGAGGCAGGCAAATCTAAAGAAAACTTTCCACTTTGAGCTCTTTTCATGAAGGAGGTTTTACCCACACTGCTGTCTCCAACCATCACCACATTGTAACTGTTTGATCTGAGATCTGCTCCCCCGGAATTACCTGCTAAAATAAAAAAACAAGAACGTTTTATTTCTCCATATTAAATTTCCCTCTCTCATTATCTGTCTACAATGAGCTACATTCTGCTGTGCCTGTGTTACTCAAGTACTGTTTGTATAATGTTGTTTTTACCCAGAGAAAACGTATTTTGACTCTCTTGAGCAAGGTGGATTTCAGCATAAGGATGTTGAACTGCTGTCACTCGTTCAAGCGTCTTCTCACTGTGGAACAGACGACCAAGCATAGTTCAAACAGAATACTAAAAGTAAGTCACATTCGGGATCCGTAAGGTTCAAGTTGTAAGTCATCAGTATACCTGCCAAATGTTTGCATTTCATTGAGAGATAAATCTGCTAAACTATACAGAATATAGCCACACATTTATATTTGAAGTTGAGAATTAAAAGAAAAACTACATAATAGGAAAAATATTTGAGTCAAGAATTTGTATCATTCACTTAAACCGTGAACTCAAATAAGATGTTTTGCACGTTTTACACCGAAAAATACAGGCATCTCATCTTTATCAACTGAAATGAATAATCAGATTGAATAAATATTTGAGTACTTATTGTGGTTTATCCCAAGAATGTTTATAAAAATACATATTACAAGTGTCAAGGTTGTTTTCTAGAAATTAGAAAATTAGACATGTCACAAAACACCGCTCACAGAAAACATGCAGCCAACACAGTTAAAAATACAATAATTCCAACACATACCGCCCTTTCATAAAAGCATACAAACACACATCCCGCTTAACATGCCTACAATCAAGCGCACAAAAGTATGACATTTGCTGATTGAGTGGTAAGATTGTCTGTCCTCCATTAGCTGCCTGTTTAAGTTTAACCGAGGAACAAATTACAGGTGCTGGTCATATAATTAGAATATCATCAAAAAGTTGATTTATTTCAGTAATTCCATTCAAAAAGTGAAACTTGGATTTTATATTCATTCATTACACACGACTGATATATTTCAAATGTTTATTTCATTTAATTGTGATGATTAAAAGTGACAACTAATGAAAATCCCAAATTTAGTAACGATTGTGCATGCATCTCATCTTTTAAACTGGTTACACTGAGCATCAGAATAGCACACCATATCACGTCTGTCATTTCACTATCTCCCTTGCCTCCTTACTCAGGCAAGCAGTGAAAGCAGTAGACTGCTAATCAGCCTGTTGGGAAGCTGGATAACAAACCAACAATGTCACTAACATTGTGAAAAAACAAACCTGTTTATGAGTTTCTACATTCTGTCTGTACTATACTCTGAGCATGAGGATTTGTGTAGATTGAGTCAGAGGCTTCTCTTGGATGAGTCACAGATGAATCTCAGTCCAACGGATAGTTTCATTTTGAACTGACATTAGAAGATTGATGGTGAGTCTTTGTTCTAAATGCTAACACATTAAATAGTCATTTCCAAGTTGGTTAAAAAAAAGTATATGACACATATGAATGAAGATTCCTCTGATGGTAACCTCACCAGGTAGATAAACACTACCTACTACTTGTGCTAAGCTGGACAAGGCTTGCAGGCGGCAGTGTTCCTGTTGAACCTCATCAGTGTTGGACTTACCTCACAGCCCTTGAGTGCTCTCCTGCCTTTGAGGTGCTGGGTGATGCTTTCTCGTAACTTTTAGAGACCTGCACGGACAAAAACATTTCATTCATGAGGTGACAGTGAGGATGATTCTTCTTCATCTTCAATCTGTTTTGTCTTTTGATTGCCAAATGATAATCTTTATTTGTTTTATATTAAGTCCACTTTTGCAGATCTAAGCTTTGTATTTTACAGGTTTCCCAGGAATAATCCTCTGGCATACAGGAAGTGAGGTGTTTATTTGAGGAGTATATACTGAGGAGCAATTTGTACAGTTTGTGCTCCACAACGAAGTAATGTTAAAAGCACTAAACTATAACATTTTATAGAAAGGAAAAGTAACAAGGCTTTTACATAAAAACCAGTGCATGAAAATAAGGCTATTTTTATTATTAAATAAATTTACATTGCAAGAAAACCACTTGTGCAAGGCCTTTTCTCTTCATGATCTTCTTTGCATGGTATGCTTTAAGGTAGCTTATTGCCACAAAAATACAAACCACCATTAAGATCAAAAAGTCAGATACATGTTTATGTTCTCCTTTTCACTGTGTGAAACTTGTAGTGTGGCCCGCATGTTCCTCATTTAGGTTCCTTGTGACACTTGAGTGTGCAAGAGGTTTTATGCAAATAGGAAGTACAGACCAACACATACTCACTGTGCAAAAGAACACGGCCAATAACAACCATCTACTTCAGGCTAAAGGCACAAAATTATAAATACAATAAAGCTGCATAATGTTTAGAAACTTAACTAACTGGTCATAACCAGTAATCTGAGTGAAATTCACTGCAAACAACTGTCTCTTCATCAGTTTAAGTATAATGTGAAAGAGTCATAATTGGGGATTCCTACAAGAAATTCTTTGATTGTAAAAAAGATAACAAATAACACAAAAAACTACTTTACTGCTTACCTCTGATATTTTGTCCAGGCCCAAAGATTCTTCTTCATTGGTCTTGACGGCACTTTCATCTGTGATACTTCCGGCATCTCTCCCATATGTATCTGTGGTTCTGTCCCCTCCTGCAGCTTGGTTTTCATTGTTTTGGTATCCACGTGACTTCCGGTGCGATCCCATTTTTCTTTTCCTCCTACCAGATTCTGTTTCTGACATCACATCATGTTTGGGAGAAGTGGATGGTATTGCAGGGACATACCTGGGGTGTAGCTGATGCTCTGTTTCTCCAGGTTGGCCATGAGAAACAGGATTTTCTTCAAATGTTTGGTGAGCCGGAGGTTTGAAGTGAGACTCACCAGTGTGGCTGTACGCCACTGTTTCAAATACTTTTTCTTTCCTTTGTTCAGAGTCACTGTCTTTGTATTCTAGTTGAAGTTGTAGCTCTTCTTCTTTGATACCTGAGAAACTTTCATTCTTTATATCTCCAACATTTGTTGCAGTCTCTTGCCTCATCATCCACCTTCTGGTTCTGAAGCAAATCTTTCCCTTTGGTTTGTGATCCAAGATTCTTGCGGGTGGACCCCATCTTTCTTCTCCTGTTGGTTGAATTTAAATTGGGACTTGCATTCTTCATCTCAGGATTTTTATCATGAACTACTACATTCACGTTGCTTGGCTCTTGTAAACCCTGGCAAATTTTATGCTCTTCTCCAGCTCCTCCTCTGATTACAGATTTCACCATTTCCAAATCTACCGCAGTCACAACTGGTGCTCCTGCAGATGTCAAAGCTTGGTTCTGGATTACATTCACACACTCTGGCCTTTCCTCATCATTTTGTGTACTCAGATCACTGTCCCTTACATCAGCTGCCTGAACAAAGTTAACAGGACAAGCATCTTCTTCATTGTGGGTGAAAGATTGCTCAGGAAGCAGATCCTTTAAATCATCTGTGTCTACTATACTGCTCTGTATACTCTGCAGATCAGAGGCACTGCTTTGTAGCTTTTGCCCTTTGTCGTGAACAGTGCTGGCTTCCAGTTCTTCTTTACACACGGGACTCAATGATGGGTTTGCATTTTCATTCTGTGATACCTCTGTAGTTACATTCATTGGTAACTCATCCACTTCTTCCATCTTGTCAAGACTTCTCATGTCAGCTTCTATGTTTAAGTTGCTTTCTTTTGTTTCACCTTTGTTGTCCATTCCTGCCCGTGGTTTTCTATTGAGTTGAGACCCGCGAGTAGAGCCCATCTTTCTCCTCTTCTCTTTGGATCTTCCTTGCAAATTTACACCATTTTCTAAATTGTTTATTTTTTGTATCCCTTGTTGGTTGTCACTTGCATCTACTGCTGTAGAAATTCCACTTTCCTCTGACATATCCCCAGCTGGCTCTGCTTTTCTGAAGTTTTCCTTGTCAAATGGAGCCCAAGTGACAGTTCTGTTGTTTGCGGCACGTGTGATCTCCAGTGAAGCAGTCATTTCTTGGGCTTCATGGTCTTTTTTTCTAGGATGTTCAATTGTTTCTGCAACGTCATCCTGTCCAGAAACTTGTATATCTACAAAACTCTCCACTTCTGTACTATAGTCTCTTATTGTGACATCTTGCACAGTTTCTATTGCATCATTTGTCTGTTGCATATTCACTTCTTGTCCCAGTGAGTCTTTGTCACAAGTTAAAGCTTCTGTGTTGTGGACCTGAAAGGCTTCATCTTGCTCAAGAACATCCGACATGACTGACCTGGCAGTGACGTTGTCATCATGATATGAGATATTCTGTATGTTTGAATCATCTTTCCATTGTATCGAGTCCATTTTAACTGTGTCATTTCCTGTAAGTTGACTTAAATTCTTAGGCTCTTTTATTATTGTTGTCACGGTTGTACTGTTGTCCATAACGTTCTGTGACAAAATTAAGTCCTCTTCTGGCGTTGTGTCTTCGTCATTAACAGCTGATCTAATTTTCTTGTTTTCTTAGCATGTTTGAGGTCTAGGTCACTTAGCTCTTTTAATTCTTTCTGCCTCATTGCCATTCCTAGTGACAATTTGGAATTTGCAAGGTCATCATCATCCCTCGTATTTTCTGCAAATTCTTCTTTAGGTTCTTGGTGTATTCCTTTATTTCTTCGGCTTGATCCCAATTTTCTTCTGATTGCTGTGGGCTTGAAGCCTGTGTGAGTTTGCTCTTTGATACCCTGAGAATTGTCCAGAGGTTGGGAGTCCAAATGAGCATTCATTTTTGATTGCTGTGTTTGTAAAGAAGATTCACTCTCCTTAACCAAAGAATAATCCATGTGAGGCTTTTCTTGCATTTCTGTTGGCTTAACCTCCTCTTCATGCACTTCATTTACAGCATCCTCTGAATGCTGAGCTCCTCTGACTTTAGAAAAGTTTACATGATCTTTTTGTTCCTCATCTGTTGACAACTCCTCCTTTAATGATGAAAAATCTGCTTTCTCAATACTGCATTTTGGCTCTGTGTGCTCTCTGGGGCTGCTTTTTTCTGTGGCTATCTCCGCTGTGATAGAATACTCTATACCGTCTGACTTTAAATGTGACTCACTCACCAAATAGTTGTCCTGCCTGAACAATTCAGTGTCCACGTCTCCTTCCTTGTTTTCTTCTTCTGTAACAGAACACACATTGGGAAGTTCTTCTTCTGGCATCTCTGTGGAGCTTGTTTGGTTGATTAGCTGTTGATCTACTGTTGAACTTGAATGTAAACTTGAACTAGTATGCTGGGAGACGCCAACAAATGTGCCAACAAGTGCATTTTCTTTGACTTGATCACTGTCTTCTTTAGTTTGATGAGTGTCAAATGTCCCCATTCCTTCCAGCATGGTTTTCATTGATGTTTCCTGCACTGTTGTCTCTATTGTTGCTGACATTTGAGTTGTTTCATTATCTCGGGTTTTTCAACAACTGCCTCTGTAAGTCTGTGGTATGATTCAGCAAGAGAGTCCTTGGTATGTTGTTTTCCTTTATGTTTACGACTAGACCCCAGTTTCCTTCTGTTCCCAATGGGGCTGAAGTCAGGGTCGGTTTGCTGAGGTTTGGAGTCCAAAGGAGCATTTGTTCCTGATTGCAGAGTTTGTAAAGAAGATTCACTCTCTTCCATTTTAGTGAAGACTCCTTCCTTCTCTTGGTGACCTGTTTGTTCAGCACTGGGTTTTATATCATCCTCTACTCGGCCTTCGTCCTCACACACCTGACCAAGTGCAGTGTCTACCCTTTCTGTGACGCTGATCTGTGTTGTCTTGGTGTCATGTACATGATAATCCTCATTTCTGGTCTAAAGCCTCAAATTGTTTTCTGTTTCAGGATGGTCATCATGTTTGTCATCAAGATTTGAAATTTCCTGTTTGCTAACAGAATCGTCAGTACTTTTCACAGTCAACTCAGATTGGTTTGTGTCCGTTGACTTCAGTTTGGTCTATCGGGTTTCCAGAAATTATTTCAGAATTTTCTGTGGCATCAGGTATCAAACTTTCCGAGGAGTAATCAATGTCTTGCATTTCTGTTGGTTCAACCCTGTTCAGCACTTTGTTTACAGTGTCATCTAACTGATGAGCACCTCTGACTCCAGATATGAAAATCTCTTCTTGTTTCGCATCTATAGGCAAGTCCTGTTTTGGTGATGAAAAATCTGCTTGCTCAACACTGTATTTTGGTTCTGTGTTCTCTCTGGGGCTGTTTTTTTCTGTGGCTATCCCCGTTGTGACAGAATACTCTATATCTTCTGATTTAAATTGTGACTCGCTCACTAAATAGTTGTCCATTAAATATCCACCCTGCCTGAACAATTCAGTGTCCACGTCTCTTTCCTTGTTTTTCTTCTGTTACAGAACACACATTGGGAAGTTCTTCTTCTGGCATCTCTGTGGAGCTTGTTTGGTTGATTAGCTGTTGATCTACTGTTGAACTTGAATGTAAACTTGAACTAGTATGCTGGAGACGCCAACAAATGTGCCAACAAGTGCATTTTCTTTGACTTGATCACTGTCTTCTTTAGTTTGATGAGTGTCAAATGTCCCCATTCCTTCCAGCATGGTTTTCATTGATGTTTCCTGCACTGTTGTCTCTATTGTTGCTGACATTTGAGTTGTTTCATTATCTCTGGGTTTTTCAACAACTGCCTCTGTAAGTCTGTGGTATGATTCAGCAAGAGAGTCCTTGGTATGCTGTTTTCCTTTATGTTTACGACTAGACCCCAGTTTCCTTCTGTTCCCAATGGGGCTGAAGTCAGGGTCGGTTTGCTGAGGTTTGGAGTCCAAAGGAGCATTTGTTCCTGATTGCAGAGTTTGTAAAGAAGATTCACTCTCTTCCATTTTAGTGAAGACTCCTTCCTTCTCTTGGTGACCTGTTTGTTCAGCACTGGGTTTTATATCCTCCTCTACTCGGCCTTCGTCCTCACACACCTGACCAAGTGCAGTGTCTACCCTTTCTGTGATGCTGATCTGTGTTGTCTTGGTGTCATGTACATGATAATCCTCATTTCTTTGGTCTAAAGCCTCAAAGTTGTTTTCTGTTTCAGGATGGTCATCATGTTTGTCACCAAGATTTGAAATTTCCTGTTTGCTAACAGAATCGTCAGTACTTTTCACAGTCAACTCAGATTGGTTTGTGTCGTTGACTTCAGTTTGGTCTATCGGGTTTCCAGAAATTATTTCAGAATTTTCTGTGGCATCAGGTATCAAACTTTCCAAGGAGTAATCAATGTCTTGCATTTCTGTTGGTTCAACCTCCTGTTCAGACACTTTGTTTACAGTGTCATCTAACTGATGAGCACCTCTGACTCCAGATATGAAAATCTCTTCTTGTTTCGCATCTATAGGCAAGTCCTGTTTTGGTGATGAAAAATCTGCTTGCTCAACACTGTATTTTGGTTCGTGTTCTCTCTGGGGCTGTTTTTTTCTGTGGCTATCCCGTTGTGACAGAATACTATATTTCTGATTTAAATGTGACTCGCTCACTAAATAGTTGTCCATTAAATATCCACCCTGCCTGAACAATTCAGTGTCCACGTCTCCTTCCTTGTTTTCTTCTTCTGTAACAGAACACACATTGGGAAGTTCTTCTTCTGGCATCTCTGTGGAGCTTGTTTGGTTGATTAGCTGTTGATCTACTGTTGAACTTGAATGTAAACTTGAACTAGTATGCTTGGAGACACCAACAAATGTGCCAACATGTGCATTTTCTTTGACTTGATCACTGTCTTCTTTAGTTTGATGAGTGTCAAATGTCCCCATTCCTTCCAGCATGGTTTTCATTGATGTTTCCTGCACTGTTGTCTCTATTGTTGCTGACATTTGAGTTGTTTCAAAGGGTTCATTATCTCTGGGTTTTTCAACAACTGCCTCTGTAAGTCTGTGGTATGATTCAGCAAGAGAGTCCTTGGTATGTTGTTTTCCTTTATGTTTACGACTAGACCCCAGTTTCCTTCTGTTCCCAATGGGGCTGAAGTCAGGGTCGGTTTGCTGAGGTTTGGAGTCCAAAGGAGCATTTGTTCCTGATTGCAGAGTTTGTAAAGAAGATTCACTCTCTTCCATTTTAGTGAAGACTCCTTCCTTCTCTTGGTGACCTGTTTGTTCAGCACTGGGTTTTATATCCTCCTCTACTTGGCCTTCGTCCTCACACACCTGACCAAGTGCAGTGTCTACCCTTTCTGTGATGCTGATCTGTGTTGTCTTGGTGTCATGTACATGATAATCCTCATTTCTTTGGTCTAAAGCCTCAAAGTTGTTTTCTGTTTCAGGATGGTCATCATGTTTGTCATCAAGATTTGAAATTTCCTGTTTGCTAACAAATCGTCAGTACTTTTCACAGTCAACTCAGATTGGTTTGTGTCGTTGACTTCAGTTTGGTCTATCGGGTTTCCAGAAATTATTTCAGAATTTTCTGTGGCATCAGGTATCAAACTTTCCGAGGAGTAATCAATGTCTTGCATTTCTGTTGGTTCAACCTCCTGTTCAGACACTTTGTTTACAGTGTCATCTAACTGATGAGCACCTCTGACTCCAGATATGAAAATCTCTTCTTGTTTCGCATCTATAGGCAAGTCCTGTTTTGATGGTGAAAAATCTGCTTGCTCAACACTGTATTTTGGTTCTGTGTTCTCTCTGGGGCTGTTTTTTTCTGTGGTTATCTCCGCTGTGATAGAATATTTTATACCTTTTGACTTTAAATGTGAGTCGCTCACCAAAAAGTTGTCCATTAAATATCCACCCTTCCTGAACAATTCAGTGTCCACGTCTCCTTCCTTGTTTTCTTCTTCTGTTACAGAACACACATTGGGAAGTTCTTCTTCTGGCATCTCTGTGGAGCTTGTTTGGTTGATTAGCTGTTGATCTACTGTTGAACTTGAATGTAAACTTGAACTAGTATGCTGGGAGACGCCAACAAATGTGCCAACATGTGCATTTTCTTTGACTTGATCACTGTCTTCTTTAGTTTGATGAGTGTCAAATGTCCCCATTCCTTCCAGCATGGTTTTCATTGATGTTTCCTGCACTGTTGTCTCTATTGTTGCTGACATTTGAGTTGTTTCAAAGGGTTCATTATCTCTGGGTTTTTCAACAACTGCCTCTGTAAGTCTGTGGTATGATTCAGCAAGAGAGTCCTTGGTATGTTGTTTTCCTTTATGTTTACGACTAGACCCCAGTTTCCTTCTGTTCCCAATGGGGCTGAAGTCAGGGTCGGTTTGCTGAGGTTTGGAGTCCAAAGGAGCATTTGTTCCTGATTGCAGAGTTTGTAAAGAAGATTCACTCTCTTCCATTTTAGTGAAGACTCCTTCCTTCTCTTGGTGACCTGTTTGTTCAGCACTGGGTTTTATATCATCCTCTACTCGGCCTTCGTCCTCACACACCTGACCAAGTGCAGTGTCTACCCTTTCTGTGATGCTGATCTGTGTTGTCTTGGTGTCATGTACATGATAATCCTCATTTCTTTGGTCTAAAGCCTCAAAGTTGTTTTCTGTTTCAGGATGGTCATCATGTTTGTCATCAAGATTTGAAATTTCCTGTTTGCTAACAAAATCGTCAGTACTTTTCACAGTCAACTCAGATTGGTTTGTGTCGTTGACTTCAGTTTGGTCTATCGGGTTTCCAGAAATTATTTCAGAATTTTCTGTGGCATCAGGTATCAAACTTTCCGAGGAGTAATCAATGTCTTGCATTTCTGTTGGTTCAACCTCCTGTTCAGGCACTTTGTTTATAGTGTCATCTAACTGATGAGCACCTCTGACTTCAGATATTAAAATCTCTTCTTGTTTCGCATCTGTAGGCAAGTCCTGTTTTGGTGGTGAAAAATCTGCTTGCTCAACACTGTATTTTGGTTCTGTGTTCTCTCTGGGGCTGCTTTTTTCTGTGGCTATCTCCGCTGTGATAGAATATTTTATACCTTTTGACTTTAAATGTGAGTCGCTCACCAAAAAGTTGTCCATTAAATATCCACCCTTCCTGAACAATTCAGTGTCCACTTCTCCTTCCTTGTTTTCTTCTTCTGTTACAGAACACACATTGGGAAGTTCTTCTTCTGGCATCTCTGTGGAGCTTGTTTGGTTGATTAGCTGTTGATCTACTGTTGAACTTGAATGTAAACTTGAACTAGTATGCTTGGAGACACCAACAAATGTGCCAACATGTGCATTTTCTTTGACTTGATCACTATCTTTGTCAGATTGATAAGTGTCAAATACGTTGATTCCTCCATCATGTTTATTGTTAGGATTTGAAATTTCCTGCTTGGTAGCAGAGTCATCAGTACTTTTCACCGTCAACTCAGAATGGTATGTGTCGTGGACTTCAGGTTCGTCTATCAGGTTTATAGAAATTATTTCAGAATTTTCTGTGGCATCATGGATCACACTTTCAGAGAAGTAATAATTGTCTAGCATTTCTGTTGGCTTATTCTCCTTTGCATGCACTTTATTTACAGCACCATCTGACTGATGAGCATCTCTGACTTCAGATAAGTTGAAAATCTGCTTTTGCTTCTCATCTGTAGGCAACACCTCTTCTTGTTCAATACTACATTCAAGTTCAGTATATTCTCTGGGGCTGCTTTTATCGGCGGTTACCTCTGGTGTGATAGAAAACTGTTTAACTGATGCTTCTATATGTGACTCACTCACCACATAGTAGCCCTGTAAATTTCCATCACGTGTTAACAATTCTGTGTTGTCATTTCTTTTCTTCCTTTCTTTTTCTGTTACAGAATCATTGGAAAGTTCTTTCTCTGGCATCTCTCTAGAATTTGTTTGGTACTGTTGATCTACAGTGGGATATGAAGGTACACTTATACTACCAAGATGTGCATTGTCTTTGACTTCCTCACTCTGAGGAGTGTCGGTGTATTTGTCCATTCCTCCCTGCGTGGTTTCCTCAAATTTACAAGAATCTGACACCACTTTACAGTCTTTCTCATTTTCATATTGGTCCGTTTGCAGATTTTCACTTTTAGGAATTAAACTTTCCAGGTCAGCCTTTGGACAGTTTGTTATAGTTGAGCTCTGAACCTCAGGTATAGTGGCCGAGTACAATGTGCTGCAATGTGTCGCAGACATATCATGCTCTCTCCCATGACATAATTCTTCCTTCCTCTCAGGTTGTATTGCCAGTGACATTTGGGTTGTTTCGGGGGTTTCACTACCCCTAATCTTTTCCTCAACTTCCTCTCTAGCTTCATAGTATGATTCAGTCGCCAATTCCTTGACATGCTGTCCTCCTCTATTTTTTCGGCTAGACCCCAGCTTTCTTCTGTGCCCTGTGTGTTCTGGTGAAGGTGGACGATGGGTTTCAGGTGAAGAATTTTGAGGATTAGTCACTAGATTTAATGATCCAGTATGTTCTTCTGGTATGTGACTTTTTGCTACAGAGGTACTGTCAGCTATGTGGATCTCGTCAGCGTCAGAAGTTTTATTTTGGTTTGCTGCCGAGCGGCGTGAACCAATTCTTTTTTTCTTAGAAGTTTGAGCAGACATGACTTCTAATCTTGTCTCCTAAAGCATGAGACATTCAGTCATGCAACGTGTCAGCAAATCAAGTTTAAATCCCTCAGAATCAGATAACATTAACTGTATCTCTAGAAAATATATACAACTATAAACATGTACTAGTAATTTCTGTCTCTATTTAGCTTCTGTTAGCTAAAGGGAAACATTCAAAACAATAATCTTTCTCAAACCCCCCCCCCCCAAAATATTATGCATACTGATTTTTTTATTACTGCAACTGGCATACTACTTAGTCACTCTAAAGTAAAACCTGTTTGTCAGTTCCTTTAAAAAAAAAAAAAAAAAAAAAAGATAAACTGCACCAATTTCATAAATTATTTTAGGCCTTCTACATACGCCACATGTACTTACCACCAAATCTGGCACCTCTGTCGTCTCACAACATGAGCGGCTTGTCAATGTCAAGTCATCAGCATATGCTGAACAGTAACATGCATTTCCTCACAGAGGAGTTGTTCCGTTTCTGCAACCATGACTGAGAGCTTCCTGTGTAGGTTACACATGCAGCCTTTATCACCCAACAGTGACAACACACAGTAGGCTACTTCCTGAATTATATCAAGCTTAATTTTCCATATGTAGATGTTCTTATTTACAAAATGTCATTTGAACACTGCACATGGTAAGTTTTTACATAATATTATTGGTTTATGTAACTTAAAAAAAAAGAAAAAAAAAAGGCAATGAGGACATATCACCTTAAGAAAAACATTTATTGAACAAGTTGTTTAACTGCATCAGCACAAATTGCCAGAGCTCAGAGAATCAAGCAAAGTTGAATAGAGTAAATGCCTTCTTTTGCAAAACTGACATAGGTAAAACACAGAATTACAGATGATGTTTTAGGCTTCAATGATACTGTGAATGACCAGTATTTGCAACATTTGTTGTCAGTCTGCTTTCTGTCACTGGTGTAATATAATTTGTGATGCAGCTCAGGGTACACATTGCCAGTAATTTAAGAGTCAACCATGAATAAAAAAGCAAATAAAAACATATGAACTTTAATTCAATGGTTTACAAAAAACAAACAAAAAAAAAAACCCACACAGGATGGTAATGTAAAACTAAATCCAGTATTCCATTTCAAAACATGCAGGGTAAGACAGCAGAATTCAATGTATGCTCCATAGAGTAAGTTCAAAGGCAAAAAATGTTTTTCTGTAAAAATGGGTAAATCTAGCCATCAGAACAGACAAAAGGCGAAAAACACTTCAGTACTTTGTTGTTAATCAACAGACTGCTATTACACATATGTAATTTGGCCAACCGGACACTGCCTTGAGCTGGCAAACAAAATCTAAAAAGAACATGACTATAAAAATTTGTATTTTCACAACCATAGCAGGATCCGGCAGATTACCATCGTCTTCATTTCCTCTCGGTAGACTGGGAACGACTGTAAAATAAACAAACTAGTGAATAAGTGCAAAATGACTGATATTGAAAATTTTTTTATATTTTAGTGATAAGACTTAAGTCTTAAATAATAATCAGTAATACTTCCAACTTACCTCCTTGACTGTGAGATGGATCTTGAGCGCTTTCGGGTCTTTTCTCTGGAGAGAGACCGATATCTGCGTCTGTCTCTTGATACAGACCTGGTGAACAAAACAAACAAAATTAATTTTGTCATTCATTATTGGCAAACGCACAGTTTAAATAAAAATAGTTGTTTTAAGTTCACCTGCTACGACTGCGGCTGAGGCTCCTCCTCTTCGGTGATCTGTAATGTAGGTGAAGTTAAAAAAAAGAAAAAAAAAAAGAAAATTAGTAAATAGAATTTAGCCCTTCCTATCACTAATGAAACCTTTTGTATTCTTGATCCTTAAAGAGACATGTGTAGTAGATCCTTGTCTGTTAATAGAAGGATCATCTGCATCCATGAACTGCATCAAGATCAACCCATTAAAAGGAAACTTTGTCCAATGAGCACCAATCGTGGAGCCTGATTTTTAGAATATAGTGCTAAATCAGGGCTCGACATTAAGGCTTGCCTAGAAAAACATATTACAACTTAACAAATTAAGAGGTGGCAGAACTTTCTTAGGTCATTTGTCTACTGCGGTGCTGCTTTAAAATTGTTTTCAAACACTGGAGGCAAAGAGCTTGTGCAAAATGACCTATACAAAGTCCAAGATAAATGTAAATTGCTCCATACAGTGGACATGATCAGAAACTGAGACAGTGACTGTTCTCACTTTTGGTTAAAAAAGAAAGTGAACCCCTGAATGGTGCTGTGACTGTAGCATTGAAACCATTAGAAACCTACATGTGTTGGCTCCAAGATGGCTGCAAAATTACCTTGATAAAACTGACATTTTAAATGTAATTTTTAAATTAGAAAAACGTTCATGGAAAAGGAGGATAGTATTAAAACTACAAAAACAAAGTACATTTTATTCCAATGAATCTCCCTCAAGATGGCTTAATGTCGAGTCATGAAAATGCACTTGGCAGCGCAAATGCTCTGCGAACATCAGACTGACAGCAAAGTTCCTTGACCACAACTTTTGATCTTTAGATTTTTGCAGCTCTGCACTGAAATTGCTCTAACTTACATAAATGCTGAGGGAAAACTGTCAAGCAGCTTTGAAAGCTAGATTAAGCATAAAAACTACAAAGAGCAGGATAAAAGAAACTTACTATTTTGGGGGATTTGGACAAGATAGAAATGACGCAAGGAAGCCAGACTGATGGTGAGGGAGGTCGAATTGCAGAGAGGATTTGCCACATGATGCAAATGTTGGAGATATGAAGTTGCCTGGTGGCTGGTTGGAAGGGGTAGTTGTAGATTTTCCCTGCCTTTTGGGGGGGGGAGGATGGGAAGGGATGTAAGCCAAGGGCTGTTCCCGTTGATACAGTAGTTGTGTGGAGAATAGAAAAAGTAAAGACGCTGATTGGTTGATAATGTGAAGTGGGCCGCTGTCGATTGGGTTAAGGTTGGAGGAAGAAGAGGAGGATGCTGGGAACCGCATGCTCAGGAACCAAAAGGTTGGTGGAACCTGACGACTGGCGGTGCGCCTGGGTCATGTGACAACACCAGCCAAGCTGATTGGGGCTCGCTGGTCAGCAGTCACATGATGCTGTAAGAGGACTAGTTGACTGACTCAGATGGTGAGAAGCGTGGTGGTGACTCTGCAACGGGGTTCAGTTTTATTAATATATGGCAACTGAACTCAGAAAGAAAACAAAATTTACACCTGCAGAAAGTAATTCTAGAAAGTACCTATAAAAATGTTTGATGGATAATGGAGTGCTAACTGTGTCTCTTAAGAGGTCCCCAAAAAGCAAATATCACTTTTTGAGAGCTTTGACCTTTTACAGACATACCGCTATAAGAGTTCATAAATAGTCACATACTGACATAAGATGACTTTGGACAAAGCAAAATTGGCACAGATGAAAATCCCTTGAAACAAAGTTTAAAAAAATATCACTCCAGTTAATGTAGGATTATATTTTTAAAACACTTAAGGAGAGGGAGTGACCTCAATATATCAAATCCTGAAGCAGCCAGATGCAAGATTATCTATTGATAAATTCATTTTCTAAGTGTGCATGTGAGCACCAAGACTGCCAACAATTAAATTTAGGTCATAGCGATGACCAATCAGAAACTTTATTTCCTACTATTAAAAAGGTTGACAAAGCTTTAATAGGTCTGAGATCTAAAGATGAGATATTTTTTGCAGTGTGGGAGGCTGTTAGATTTAAATGTCTTTGCCAAACTAACTCATATTTTTAAGGAGTAAAAACACTAATGCTTAGTGTGTGGGGTCTGTAAATCTCCTTTGTGCTTTTAAACACTGCAAATAAGACTGTAAATAAAACAGTAAAATTAATTGTCAAGTGGGCAATCCATACCTGCGTCTGCCTGGAGGACTACGTCGCCTAACATCTTCGCGAGGGCGTCTATTCCAGGATGGAGGAGGGCCACGGCTCCTAGAGCGTTTTTCTCCAGTGGATAACTCGACACGCACACGACAGCCACACATGGTTCTAAGCAGAAGTCATCACATGAGTGGGGGTGGGGGGGGGGGGGGGGGACACAAAAAGAACCACCACTAAAAAAATGTTTTGAAAGATTTACCTTCCATCCAGTTCTCTCACAGCATCCGCTGCATCTCTGGGGTCTTCAAACTCTACAAAAGCAAAGCCTGGGGGATTCCTCGCAACCCAAACACTTCTTAAAGGACCATAGTACCCAAAAGCTCTTTCTAACTCTGTCTTGTTTCCATTGTTTCCTAGATTTCCAACGTAAACCTTGCAGTCAAGGGGACAGTCTCGATTAAGCGCAGGGTCTGAAAGAAAGACACCAACACAAACATGGAGAGATATGATGAATGTTGCATCATTATATCTTATTCTGCATTGCCCATTTAAGACGTGTAGGCTGAATGTACAGAGTTAAAGTATCCCAATATATTAGGTAAAGATATGCCAAACCACAATAATCTCAATAACAAAAATGTACTTCCTTATAATTGTTTCCTTTTTGGTGTGAAGTACATGGTTCAAATGAACTGGCTTGTTTTGCCCAATTTGTCTTCTTTAGTTTGGTTTGAACGTTGAGAAAGGAGTTTTTAATATGGATACCACGATGTATGATCCTGATCAGAGTCCTTTAACAATGAGTATCTGCCAATTCAAAGTCTGATTCAACACTTATGCGTTTGACACACTGAAATTGCTGTAGACTACTACATTTGCCACAACGTATTCACAAGCAACTTAATCCAAACACTGGAGATCCTTGTTCAAAACTATTAAGTTGAAAAGCTTAAATTATTGATCAGCTATACATAAAATATTAACTGAGAGAATGAGACTCCTGAAACTGATGTGACGCAATCTGCTAAAGACAAGACACATCACTCTGTTGGACCTACAAAAATGGTTGTAAAGCTCTTCCCTCAAAAATGATCTTTGACTGAGCACTGACACCAGCTTGCAGAGAACACCTGAACAAGACAGGTTTTATTTTGGCCCGCCATCAAGTTGCTCACTGAATTCATGTTAATTAGCAACAGTTGATCTGACATTTGTCATTTTAACCGGTGGACGCCCCAGCTGAAGTTTGACAGCCTTGAACTGTCAGACACTTAGCCATACTGTTTATGAAGAGGAAGCTATACTTTTATTATTGCTGGCTGTACAAAGCCATTCCTGTTCTATTACATGGTTTTTCATTCAACTTGAGGAAATTGCTTGCCTGTATTAAACAACAGAAATTGCTATCTAGCGATTTTTATAAACCGCTTGTAAAGGAAATTGATATTCATATGATTAGGGATGCCATGATACCAGCAATTCAGTAGTCGATACCGATACCAGTAACATTCCTTGATATAAAAAAAACAACAACAAAAAACAAACTGTAAAAAGAAAAACAAAACCATAAATCTAATGTACTTCAACATACATGCTTTAAAAACAAAAAAAACAACTAACCGTCCAGGACAGATGAGGTGTTTTGATGTCAATATATTCATAAAATGAGCAAACTAGCACTGTGCATATTTAATTATCAAATTAATTACTTAATTTTCTTAATCTCACAGGTGTGAAATGTTTAAAAAAGTTATCACTATCTATATTGGCAGCTGTCTAAGATTTTCATATTGAAAAACAACAACAAAAAAAAGTTATTGATGATTGAAATGGATCGTATTGCACTTTTGAGATGGTCCTCAACTCCACCAATAGTGTCAGGTGCATTGGACAGACATTCAGTTCTTAGCGCTGCAAACTGCATCGTCATCTTTGGTGATTTTCAGGTGATAAAAACTATGAAACGTCTGCCTAAATTAGCTCTCCAATTGTGAGAAATCGAGGCTCTGACACGAGGTATTGAAGTTAACAGCTGTGAAACTAACTTCACTCCAGTTTCCACCTCTTTTCTATTTGATAAGTGGCTATTTCACATGTTTGATCTTCATTACCTAGCAAAACAAGTACAGACATGTTTTCAGAATTTTAGTATGGACTTGGTACCAAAATATCAGTTCACGTGACATCCCTTATGATATAAATTTATATTACAATAACAACTTATAAATACTGTCATGGCAGATTTAATTCATAATACAATCCCTATTCAGAATATGGGAAACTATTTTTTTTATAATATGAGCTACTAGTGCTCTAAAGTACTCTTCAAAGACAACAGTAGTGATGCTGCCAAATGTTATCACAGTGTGAAAAACTGATTTTAAAAAAAAGCCCGTCTGACATGGCAATGCATTTAATGTAGTAAGGTTTTAGTGGCTCAGATCATGGTGACAACGCCCCAGAATCAGCCATCATCGGCATGCCCAGTGCGCAAACTATAACATCAGTTTCAGGGGAACTCTTTATCTGGGTGGGGGACTGGGATGTGTGTAAATAAAGGGTTGGACTGAAACCCAAAAGGAGTCTACTAACATTAACCAAATTCAGACAATACAAACAAGTGATGTCCTCCTTGACAGTAAATGCAAGCTGCTAAGTTACCAAACTGATTTAAAGGCAACAACAGAAAGTTTTTAGCCATTTTTAAAGTCTCTCATGACCACCTGCAGAATAGTGATTTTGAATTTCTTGCATTATTTGTTTAGATAGCTGCTACATTTCTAGAAGATTAGTATCTATTAGGGGTGTAACGGTACATGTATTCGTACTGGACCATTTCGGTACAGGACTTGCAATCTTTAGCGTCATATATTAGGCTTGTTTTGTGTGTGGAAAATACGTAAATTCTGAGTTTCCACATGGACATATTAAGTGGTGGACCAAATCTCTGCTGTGCGGCGCTTCAGCGCTACACAAGCAGTCGCTTTAGCCCAGCCTCTCTCCAACTAGTGAGTTAAACATCACGGCCAGTGCAGAGAAGCCAGAGCTTTAAGACCCTCCCTTATTGTTAAGGTCTTCTGTTTGGGAACACTTAGGTTTCCAGTGAAATACAACAACGGACAAGTCGATAAGACGAAAGCAGTGTGCCGACATTTGTCGGGTAGGTTTCTGGCAACACGTCAAACTTGCTAACTTACTAATGGTATCACACGAAGGAGAACGTCACTGCAACAAGGGGGAAAAAACAAAAGCGAGCACAGTGCAAACGTCTTTCGGCATTTAAACAGACTTTTTTTAAATCTGGGCAGGCCTTCAAGCTGGGATTGATAATGCCCATAGATGGAATAAAAAAATAAGAATGCTTCACTGTAATCTATTTATATTTTTTAAATTATATTTTATTAACTGTATGTGGCATTGTTTTGACAATATTTTATTTAGTGGAGAACTTGTTAGTAGTTCGCAGCAGTAATTTAATTCTGCTAATTCTTAAATATAAAATGTATTATGTGTAATTTGTAAGTTTGTTTAAAAAATTGTTACACGCCTAGTATCTATGCAACTAATATAATATTAATTCAGGTGAGTCACTTCCTGCAAGCCCTGCAGTAATTATACTACTGCTTCAAAAACTGTGGATTCAATCGGTAATCCAGTCATTTATTTTATGGTCATCCATCAAATAAACAGATAATGAAAGTAGATGTGTCGATCTGGGTGGCTTACTCCCTTGGCGAAACGGTTTCCTGGGGGAAAGTCTGTACTGTTTTGACCTGGAGGGTTAAGTAACATGAGGAATTCAGTAAAGTAACAACGTAACAAAGCTTACCACTCATTTCGCCAAGTTTATATATCTTCTTGTAGAGTATCCCAAAAGCAGATGTGCCTGAAAGGAAATAAAGACGGTCAGAAACTGTCACAGCCACATACCTGACCTAATTCTGCATCTACAAGTTACAGGTAACTTAGCTGTTAGCTGTAAGTTAACATTATTCTCTGCGGAGCTTTCTCAAACCACCGGAGGGCTGTTAATGTTCACTATAAACGTTAGTGGTCTAAGTGCCGCTAAAGTCACAAGATTAAACATTACTAAGAGTTGCCCAATTGTGTAATGACCACAATAAAGTCACTCAATTGTACGTTATGCCTTTCTACTTAAATGTTCAAAGCTACCGCTAGCTAGGAAACAAAAGTAACGTTAGATTATTAGGATTCGTCGGCTTGTGCGCAAAAGCAAGTAACGTTAATGTTAACGTTTGACATTATATTCATGCTCTTTTTTAGTGTAAGACACACATTTTGCTGATTAACACAATCACGGGTATCTAACTTAACTTAAGTACCAAAGGTGTGTGTTGGCAGGATTCCCAACGCCTCATACAGCTATGCAAAAATTACCGATGAGCTTCAACAGAATGTGGTAGCTAGCACATTTAGCATTTAACACGATGAAACGGTTAAAACGAATATTTACTTCTGGGCCCTCCGGCATAATAACCAACGTGATACAAAACGTGGAGAGAATCTAGTAGATAAATATGTTAAAGAAATGTAGCTCACCGTTTTTGTAGCTGTAGTGCGACAAAAAAATGTTAGCAGCAGATTTCACGCCGCCCGTTTCCGTTGCTAGCTTAACTTGTTATTAGCACCGGTACCACGGCGGAAGAACTAGTCGGTTCTCTACTTCTTTGTGTGTTTGTGTGGCAAACTAATGTGACATGCACATACCGCAACCTGCTGTACCGGAGAGGACTATCGGTCACAATCACAATACACTAAACACAGTGTATCATCCTTACTTTCTCCCGTTTAAAACACATCATTTTAACCAGAAATTCATTGAAGTAAAATATTTACTCATTTCTAAACAACAACATATTTTAAAAATTATACTAAGAAACAAATTGTTAAATATCCCTGCAATGTAGCCTACATAAATCAACACACCACTACATTGTAGTCTGTTGAAGTTATTACACTATTGTGTGTACTGCTATTTTACAGTACACAGAGAGTAGGACTTTGTAGTGTTTCTAATTCTGCATGGGCTACAGTAATCATTCAGCCAACACCATCTCTGTCCCCCTCAAAGGGAGCCACTTACATTTTCCAGGCACGTTTTCTTCCCTCAACATCAACACTCTGTTGATAGATAATAGATAGATAGATAGATAGATAGATAGATAGAGCTGATGTAGTTCTGTAAGGCAGAGTCAGCATGTTGTGACTAAAGCATTATAAAGTGCATAGTGCAACCCTTATCTGAAGTATGTACACATTTAATATAGGCCTACTTAAATATTAGCAGCATCAGAAGTAGACTACTTAACAGTGGTGGAAGTAATAACAGTATGAAAAGAGGCAAACAGATAGATAGATGGATATATAGTACCACACTTTGCATCAGTGCAAGGGGCCAATTTTACAACATTTTATTACCGTGGACACAGAAATGTTGCTTTCTTGACAAATGCCATCCTCTGCCTTTGACTAATTCTCTGTCCTCTCATTGATGACTTTTGAGTTCAAAACTTGTCTGTGCTTCAGGGGTGAAGATTTCCTCAATGGCTGTTCCTGTGTCCTTCGGCCTGGGTGTGATCTTTTTCCAGATGTTTAGTGAAATACTTGATTTAACACTGTGTGAAGACATGTGGCTTCTCTCCCTTAAACATCCCCCACTGCTCTCCCATGTCAAGACGTTTTAAAACACAAAATGGCAACATGCCCATATTTACTTTAACGCTATGTCCTAATGAAAAACAAATTGTTCCACAGCAACACAGACAAAGCAGAAAACAATCAGGAAAAATTATTATTGAAAAAGAGCACCAAAGCTGTATGTGATGGAATGTAACTAAATACATTTACTCAAGTACTGTACTTCAGTACAATTTTGAGGTACTTGTACTTTACTCAAGTATTTCCATTTGATGCTACTTAGAATTTTATATAACAAATATCAGTTTATAAAATACAAAAAATTGATAAAGTTTAAAGAAGTGGTCCCCAACCACTGTTTGTGACTGTGTGTTGTGATGGAGTGTCTAGTTATTGACATGTTTCAGATGTCTATGAGTACTTAGCAGTTCCACCAAAAAGAGATTCTCCCTATAAACTTCTTACACTGGATCTTCAAATAGGTTTTCATGGCCCGAAGAGGGTAAAACTCTCCAAAAGAGTAAAGTCTGAAAAATTTATTTGACTTACGTCGCAGAACTGTGTTTTTTCTTCTTTCTTTCTTATTTAGTAATTATGTTTCATGTTGATGGGAAATACAAACTTAATTCATGTAGTTTTAACTGTTGCTGCCTGCCGTTACTGATTACTGTGCAGGGAAGATAAGTAAATCAACAGAGCAGGAGGGTTATTGCTCAACAGGACAAAACACCCACAAATGACCCCTTGAGTGTAAGTGTTCAGGTGGGTGGTTAGATACTGTATGTACACTTCCTGTATAGAGACACATTCAAGAAGTAACAGAGGGGAAGAGGTATGCGTAACAGAAGTCTTTGTACCTCTTTGACCCTGAATCTAACTGCTCACTCCTCATATTGCAAAATGAAACATAAAACAAGGGTATATGCATATTTGATCTTTCTCTGTTTTCATACTGGAAGCGGAAATCTGCAAACAGCTGGAGTTGATAGTGAATTTAGTGAGTTTCACCTGTTACTTACCATGTTATGTTAATGCACTGGCCCTAAATATTGTCTTTAATCCAACCCCTTTTGTTGGGCTTGTTTTGAAGCATCCTCTTTCGTAAACCAAAAGGTTACATGTCCTGTTTGTATCAATTGTTTAGCGATGTCACTCCCTACTATGTTTGGATGTTTGGGCTCTGACTGTCATTGTGAGCAGTCAGATTAGTTGAGTAATTACTCAGCTGAGTCAAGCTTTGATTAATGATTGCCTGACATGAGAGATGAAATGGCGATGTACTAGACATCCCTGTAACTGATGCCAGATAATTTAGTGAAGAACAATAACTCTCATTAGCAAAGGTGCCCTATGAAGGAGAGAGTTGTTTCCCTTTCAAGTTTCAAGTTCCTCATTGTTTGGGCTCCCACAAACTGCTGCAAGTGTAAAAATAATGACAATAACTTCAAAATCAACCAATTGCATTTCTTCAGATATTTCTTTATTTCTTCTGAGCTCATTAAAACCAATTATGGAGAAGTATTGAAATCGTAACCCTTCCCTTGGCCACAAACATGTGTGTACACATTGGATGAATGTGACAAAATACGGAAATTACCATAAAGCATTGTTATAACACCAAATAAGGAAACATGTCATGTTTTATCTCAGGTGCCAGTTTATCAGGTACATAAAATGCTGCGTCATTTTCTGATAAAAGAAGGAAAAGTCATGAAAAAGTATCAAGATGATAAAACGAATGTTTTTTGAGTTGTTAAAGAGGGATTTCCGAGGGATCTCAGATTTTTTTTGTCTTCTTATCTGTAACAAAAAATGCAGGTAAAATTAAATAATGTTTCTTTTGGGACCAGACTACAAACTGGAGCCGCACATCTGGAAGTCTTGTGCTCTTTTGATCTCACTGTGTATCCATCATGCAAGAGAGTGATCCAGTGCTGAGGCCACTAAACAAACAAACTCCCACAATAGTGAGGGTGGAAATCACCTAAAATTAAGTATAACTGCAAATTATAATTATAAATGAATGGAGGTCCAAAAAACCCCCTGCGCAGCCACACCATTTACCTTTCCAAATATATTTACATTTACAGTATATACTGTATTTTTTATTTTTTTATTTTTTCAAGTTTAAGGCACTTGTAGTTTATTTGAGTACTTTCAGAAGGACATATATTGCATATACAGTGCATATTCAAAGTTTGACATTAGTTCCAACTCAACTAACGATCCAATACAATAATGTATAATAATGTACTGTAACACTGACAGGGGCTTGCATAATGAATACTTTCACTTTACTTTAACTACATTATTTTTCAATACTTTGAATTCATACAGGAATACTTCTGTACTTACCCTTTGACATTTTGAATATGTGACTTTTACCTGTAATGTGTTTTTACACTATTCTATTGAGACTGAAAATCTGAATATTTCTTTCACCACTGACAACTTTATACATTTAGTAAACTTTTCTATTATTTTTTTCATGATATGTAAACAGATTTTATCTTAACAGATAAGATAAGGAGATAAAAACCAGCACTAAACCTTGTCAAGGATAAAAAGCTGAAGATTCCTCCTGTCACTGTGCCACTGTGTTTGTATTCATCAACGGCAGCAAGGGATCATTTATTTAGGGTCCTTGGCAGACGCAGCAGAAAAGAACTCTTGCTTCAGGGGGCAAAAGTTCAGGGATAAAAGGGATCACTCAGGAGATTACTCCCATGTACGTAACATGGGTGCCTCGAACACAAACAAAGAACATTATGTTGCTCAGCTTTATTTTAGTCGCTGTGTGCATGTTTGTGTGAGAGCGAGTTGAGCTACATTTGTTGTATTTGCACATATCCCTCTGCTGCCATAGTATTCTCCTTTTAGCTGTGTAAATGAAACATCTTTTTTTTTTCTTGCCTCCGCTCAGGGTAGTGTTTTTCAATCAGATTAGTACAGCACATTCTGTTCTGTTTCACTTCCTGATGACTGTGCAGCCTGTATCCCTGAATGAACTCACCCGCGTGCTTCTGGTTACACTAAGACACTCATTCAGACAGATGCATTCTCGTAACTGCCTATCAGATTTTGGTACTTCATACAATGTTTGGCAAATGTATTTGCCAATTATCAAGAACATCTCCAATGTATTGGATTATATTAACAAAGATTATAAGACTTTTTAGTGAATATATTGCTAGTATTTATCACTGAGTGTAATAATAGGCTCTAAAGCTCAAAATATGAGCGACAAATCAATGTAAAAATGTTAATTATATTTCTATTAAACAGCTACAAACTGTTTATTTAACCTTTGACCACCTAGTTTTCCTGTTTCCTACCAGGTTGCTGCTTTCACCAGAACTGAAACAAGATGTTCGTGATATTTCAGGAAGGAAGACAACATGTCAGGCACTGTGTCAATTTAGAAATCTATTCATGCATTTCAGTTCAGCTCAGGTCAGTTGAGTTCATTTTTGACCTCCACTTAAGCAGACAAGACAGAGGGGTGGGGGGATCTGCTAACAAAACTACCAGGACACCGCAGTTCAGACAAGGGTTGAGAAAACAAACAAATCTCTGCCTGAGCTGGAGTCAACTATCTTGATGATTTTTTTTAAATAAGCATGTATTTATTGCTAACAACTTCAGGTGGGTGGTGCAGTGTAGGGTGTTTGAGGGCTGGTGGTGTCATCAGATCACAAGGCCACAGCCGTTCTGTTTCTGTAGTACTTTTTGGCTTTTAATGTAAATAAAATGTTCCAATAAAGAGTGTGTGAAACCTGTTTTCTTCCTATAACTGATGGTGTAGAAGATTACAGCCAGTTGACAACATCCCTGTGGGTTTGCAGAGTCAGATTCACTTGTGTTATGTCACCTTTATAATTAACAGGATCATCATGTTCCCTTCAATAGCTGCCAGCAGCGTGGTCAGACAATGTCTTCACCACCTCTGACAGTAGGATTCACCCACCAGAGACCTGCCATGAAGTTTCAACTGTCACCTCACTACAAGCAATAAGAAATGGAGTTTCTTTAATATATATATATAAAAAAAAATCTTTATGGTCAAAGACTTACTCACACCAAGAACTGATGCCATATTTGAACAATTTTAAACACTTTAATGCAAAAATATTATGACCATAAATATAAGCAGCAGCCGTAAAACATGCTATATTGCAAACATACTATGGACATAATAATAAAACAGTACCCTCAGACCACAGAAGCATAAAAAACATTTTATGACTTTCATGGGAATTTCAACTGCTCTTGCACCCACCTCCTCACCCCCATGTATTTTTCTTCCATCGGTTTAAGCCGGATTTTTTATTTTTAAACTTCTCAACTCTATAATAACTCAATAATACTGCATATCTTTTAATGACAGGAATTCAAATACAGCTGGCGAGTCTGCCTTGTTGGTCCACAGGAGACATTACATGTCTTCTTACTGGCTGTCCAAGGAAAAGTTTTGGGAGTCATAACTAACCTATGGTCACATACACAGGTCAAAACTGCCCTCACATTGGTCTGTGAGCAATTTGAAATACCTTATTTTCACAGCATTAGGTTAAAAAACACTTTAAAACAAATATCTGTCAAATCCTATGCACGTGTTTCCAAACTGTTGACACAAAAACTCCCACATCTCTAAACTACTTTGTTCTGGACCACACCCTCTCATTTCTTTCCCTATCACTCCTTTGTCTTTTTAAATTCTTTACTGGCATGTGCTACACTGGTGTCCATTGACAACATTCCAGTATTTAACAGATAAATAAGCAGATTAAGCTGATACAATGAAATGCATCAGAAGGTAAAAACAGTATAGTAAGTTGTAAAATATGCCCCAAATCCTTGTAGAAGTATATTTTTAACAGAGATATTTTAAGATGATTTTATGTGTCATCGTCCTGTGAACAGAAGTGGGATTTTCTATTTAGATTTCTCTGAAAAACAAGGCATACATTACTTATTTACTATAAACAATAAAACGGGAGTTGTCTTTTTAGGAAGCTGTTACTACAGGTCAAAGGCAAACTTTTACAAGTGGTCATGTGGGAGAACATGTTAGTTAGGAAGTAATCAAACGTATTTACTAAGGTGCTGTATTTAAGTTACGTATTTCCATGCCACTTCAGATACAACTATTGAATGCTATACTACATTTTTGTGTTTCCATGAAAGCGGTACTGTTTTCTTTGCATCATAAAATATGATGGGTTATACTTCCTAATATTACATAATATAATTACAACACCTGGACCTGGATTATAACTGCTAACGTCATCTGACTCATTGACAGGGCTCACTATTCTTACTATCCTTCATAGTGAGTACTGTTACTTTGGATAATTACTTTTATTTTAATGCTAGGTCTAATACTTGTATTTAATATTTAGGGGCCACATAGGAAACCTAATTAGGCTATAGTAACAGGACGGTGTATGTATGTTTTACTGCAAATAGCTGTACAATTTTCTTCGCAGATTAAGATTTGACTTGCAAATCAAAAGCTCATGATGACGCATTTAACTACTTCCCAACATCAAAAAAAATAATTACATATAACAACTCGTGGACCAGGTTTATTATTTTCCCTTATCATTTTACACTTTGACAGTAAGCACTTTTACTTTCAGTATTTATCTGTACTGGGAAGGATGGTAGGAAGCAACCAAAGATTAACTGATTGTATGGTTTACTGCAAAACAGCTGTACCATTTTCTTGTAAAACAAGAACTCATAAAACATAAAGCGTTAAACATAACAATAAACAATTACACAGAACAACACATGGACTAGGTTTATTACTTTAACTTGTCATTTAACACTTTTATAGGGGCTATCCTACTTAACATTTACAGTGTGTGCTTTTACTTTTAATACTTACTGGTATTTTAATATCGGGTCTATCATTTGTTCTCTCATACTTGTCATTTAGGAAAACCTGAAGGCTATAGTAGGCTAACAGGTCTGACAGAAACGTACTTAAGTTAATGCAAGTTGCTGCAAAATATCTTCACAATTTTTCTTTTCAGATTTGACTTGCAAAACAAGAGCCCATAAAATATGTTGCATTACGTTTCCCAAATTAGCTACAAATTTCCCAAATTCCCAAATAGCCTGAAATATTTATGATTAAAAAACAAAGTGAGTGAAATCACAGAAAGTTGCAGTGGAGTGAGCTTACTGCTTCTGGTCCATGGAACACTATGGCATTTGATATGGTGGGATTAAATCAATCAATAGGTCATTATTAGGCATTGATCAGCTTTATACTTGAAGTTGCATCTTTAAAACGTCTGCTTCTGTAGTCCCATCATTAAGAGCTAGCTAGCAAGTGTTAATGTTAGCTAGGCTAATCAACATCAGCTAATGTTGCCTTATTGATCTTAGAACAATAGCTAACGTGAGTTACTAGATTAAAATAGTGTTTAAAACATGATATGTATAATGTGTATCTGATATATTAAATAATAAAGTTGATATAATCTCTTGGGTTTAGGAACAGTGACTCACGTTAGCTTTACCTCAGATGTTCAAATTCCTTTTACAAAGTAATTCTAATAGTTGAAATAAGTGTTTTGATTAGAGATGGTGTGGAAATGAAAAGAAAAATTAACAATTGAAATGTCCTTTCTTTAACTGTGATGGATGAAAATGCACACATATTTGTTTTGTGTTCACATCCCTGCACCAAATGTCTAACTTACTATTTGGCACCATTATTTACTCTGCACAGAATGTGTAGGCCTAACCCCCAGCCCTTTGATAAAGACGGTCAAGGAGATTAGAAACCTCCGGGAATGTGCCTGTTTTGGGAGACCGTTCCCATAACAGTCTTGTGGTCAGCGGGATGTTATAACAATGTTCCCCAGCTATACTTCGCAGAACTTTCTTTAGAAACGCAAAACCAGTATTCCAGGGTGGTCAGCCAATGTTCCCAGAACGTTCCCCGAAACTAACCAGTTTGCTGGGGATGCTCGATTATAAGTAGGCTAGTGTTTACTTGCACTTAATTTCTGGTAAGATGGGAAACAAAGTAAGGGTGAGTGTTGGGAAGGTTACTCTGGAAATGTAATAGGTTACCGATTACAAGTTACCCTATTTAAAATGTAACTATTTCAATTACTTTATCAAAGCAATGTAAGTTATTAATTACTTTTCTAAATTTCTAATGACTGTTTTCAACTGAGAGCTTGAGAGGCAATTTAACTGGCAGATGTGTGGCACTGCAAATTCAAACATGAGAGCCAATCAGAAGCATCAGAATAGCAATACACTTTACTAAAAGGCTGTGGCTGGAATGGACATTATGCACAAGCAAATGAATATTATTAGAAAGTATTCAGATGTAACCCTAAATGTAATCATGAACATTTTCATAAGTAACTGTAATTTAATTACACATTTCCCCCCATAACTGTAATGGATTACAGTTAAATTCATTTTGTAATAAAAGAATGTAACTAAATTACATGTAAGTTGCTTCCCAACACTGGTTAGGGTGCAGTCACAGGTACGTAGTAACCAAGTATATTTACTCATGTTTTATATTTACTCATACTTCTGCTAAACAGCTGCACCTTAAGATTTGATTAAGATTTGACTTGCAAAACAAGAGCTCATGCAACATTAATGTAGGTTATTAGGCTATACTTTCCAAAATGAAAATAAATAATTAGCCTGCACTTAACTCCACTTGGACTAGGACATTCTTGGTGAGTAATTTCACTTTTTACTTAAATGTATTTTACTATAAAGTTTGTTTACATTTAATTTGGTAATAAAAAAAACAGCAACAACTTACACTTGTGATATTTTTTTCATTATAGTTCTGCTACTTGTAGCCTACATAAAATATTTCAATATCCTACTTGTTTCACCACTGTAAACAAAGCAACGTAAACACAGGTTGTTTGTGAGAAAATGACAAATGATCTCCACCCAGTAAACGTCACAATAAAGCACCAGGCATTAGGCAAAAAAATAATAATTCCAAGCATACATGTATGCGCATTTGTCGAAAATCCCTACCTTCAAATAAGTTCTAGAAACGCTACAGCAATTGTATAAATCCCCGGTAAACAAAAAAAAATAAACAAACAGTAATCCGTCTCACCGCGCCTCTAATCGGGCAGTGCAGCGTGCTTTTATTTCGGTGCTTTTACACATCCCGTCTGTGCAGGCTAGGGCTCGGCTATTACACAGCAGTGTTGATGAAACGTGTTGTCAGCTGAGCGAAGGGAACAGCCTGTACCGCAGCAGGCTGTTCCCGGACTAGCTCGGCACGGAACGGGTTACAGGTCAGGGTGTCTATTGGAACACAGTGTTCTCATCAGCAGCGGCAGCGGTACAGCTACAGTACAGCCGGAACATTGTGTTACTTTGTGGCTGCTTTCCAAGACCCGCCCCTTCATTTTACACTAAACGCCCTCCCACAACTCTACTCTATTCTACTCTCTGTCTCCCTCTCTCTCCTTTTCGCTCTGTGTGTCTCTGCCTCTCTCCCTCACGAAGTCATTTTGAAGTGTGAGATCCATGTGGCTAGTTCGCCGGCACGTTTGCCGTCACCAGAGGGGAAAGGGATAAAGGGACAGAAGACAAAAACAGCGCGACAGAGTAATCACATGGGCAGAACATTTAGTACCCTGGATATGAGATGAGAGGGGCGGGCTTGCATTAGGCGCTATAGATGGTTGAAAATCAACCAACTGAAAATCCAGAGGGTCACTGGCTGTTTCGGGAAAGGAATAATAACCTAAAAAAGGAGCACAAGAAAATGTGAGTCTTTTATTTTATTCCCTGTATTCTGCTGCTGAAATACATAATTAAGGAGTTAATAATGGCATGAGGTTTACCGGCTCTCTGGTGTTTTCTGTTAACGCCTTCAGGAGTTAAAGGGACACTTGTTATACATCATAAAGATTTGGCTTTAATCAAGAGGATTAAAAAACAACAACATTATAACATGACTAAAACCAATGGTTATTAAAAAAAAATCCAAGATGTCCAGTTGAGGTTGTCTGATTGGAAGATGTTCTAGGATGGATATTGAATTTCCTGCAGGTGTTGGGGCATTTGAGGTTAGGGCTGTATCCCACTGTACTCTGGAAAATAAAGGCTGATAAGGGTGTGTGTACGTGTTTACAGGTTAAAGTGTATATGAATGTGGCACTTATCTGTGGTTCCCATTGGAGGTGGATGAGGAAGACAACAGTTTACATCCAGAATCTCTTTAGGCGTAGGTGTATCATCATAAATTACAGGTTGTGTGACCCTGTTTCTGAGAATGAGTAACATTAAGTTAATTCCTGCTGATTGTTATTCATTTTGAACCAGGTTGTACCTTTCAGGACATAATGATAGCCTCTAAATAATTTAAAATATATGGGTGTTCTCACACAGGTATTTAGATTTAGATGAGGTAGTGTCAGAGAAGCAGAGTTGGCCTGCTGACATGGACACGGGTCGAGGCAAAGTCCCAGAGATGAATCAGCCTTAGGGAGATATTTAATGAAGACACATTACTTCTTGTCCAAATACACTGACATGTCCTTTACCTTTGCTTTATAAAAACAATAAAATCAAAAGGTTTGTCATTTTACATTAAAAGTACGTACACCACACATCTTTGCCACTGTAGCAGCATCTCCAAAAAGTGATGTCTTTAAAAACAAGCTTCATTTGTGATGTATTTGTCAGCTTAAAAAAGACTGCTGTGTCAGACAACGCTCTGCTTCAGGATGTCATTCTGTGCATGGTGTGTGCTCACATGCTCATATATGTGAATCAGCAGCAGAGTACGGATGTGAGACAGAATGTACAGATACACTGAGTGCGTCTGTGGATGTGGTCTTTCCTTCATTGTGTTCTGTTCCTGCATTCCTCCGCAGGGTATCTTGAGTTTAGATACACATAGCCTACGTGCCATTTTATGTGTCATAACTATTTTCAGTTGAGTTCCCTGTTGAGTGTTTAATAAAAATTAAATGTTTCATACAGGAAAAGCAAAAAGTTAAATGATGAAACATATGGAATGCATAACTTTAAATTATGTGAATTGGTTGATGATTTTAATTCATAACACTATTGCTCCACTTGCTTTATCTGAATTAATTGTGTGTCAATGTAAACATAAAGGTATAGTGACTTAAATAGTGAATAATTAAAATCTGCCTATTTTCATTCAAAAATTCAAGCTGTGTTGTACGTGAGCGGGTCTCAGATTGGTGAACACCATCAGGCTTTGCCAGCGGGGAACTGTGAATAGAAGGAACATTGTGTTCAGACACACACACACACATGCACATGCACACACACGCGCACAACGAGTTACATCTAAAAGGAAATCCATGAAATTTAAAAGACACAGGACAAGGTCTTGCTACAGAAGAGACGGACATTGTGTGGTATGCTTGTGTTCAGTACACAGACATTTGACACAAAATTGAAGATGCAAATAAAATTGTACCGATCATCAGTGAGACAGATCTTTATAGTTTTACCACTATGGATTGAGGCACACGTGTGCACCTCGGCTTACTGTATTAAGATCTTTCTCACACTGAGAAAATGAGTTCAAATCTATTTCTTGATCAATATCTAACACAATGAGCTCATTGCGAAGTTGACGCATCTCAGGGCAAGCTCCGTTTCTCAATTGTCATGCAGGCTCTTAAAGAACTTAGTCACCACAGAAGAATACCCAAATATTTTCACATTGTCATTGGCAGCATTTGGGATGTCCTTAAAGTGACAAGACAGGACAACTGGGGCAAAAATCTAGAAAACTGATGCAGGGAGTGAAAGCTGCCGTTCCTCTCTATCAAAACACACTGCCCTTGAGAAACAAACCATCTGTGTACAAATGTTGTGGTGAATTATTAATTTTTCAGCTTCATTACTTTTAGAAAAAGTACAAAATTTCAAGCCCAAATTGGCTTTGTATCTGTGCACCTGATTAGCCATTTTGGGCTCCACATGTTTGACTTCCAGATACCTAAACACTTGTTGGCCAGCCCAACATCTATTTTTCATCGCAAAGGTTTGTTATCATTACTTCACAACTCAGGCCAAAAGTCCTCACATCAGTAACATCCCAACACGGTCCCAGAACAGCTGTGAGCTGATGCTATTCGTGCAAGTGTTGGAGTCTCAGCTGTCGCATGTGATAACAATCACCAAATAGTGTTTGCCAACATGCCTAACATAGCAAACTAGCCTTTTCATTGTCTTCAAACAATATCAAGATTATTCTGCCCGAGCAAACTGAAAATGCCTACAGCCATGTGTATTGAGGTAGTAACAATGCTTGTCGACAACAATTGTTCCTGTGATGAGAATGGCAACATTTAGCAGCTGTAACACCAACAGGTCATTACAGTTTTATTGCTCTGGCAAGCTGCTGTTGTCTTTTTGCTACACAGAGGCGTGAGACAGCAGCAAAGTGATCTGACTGACTGAATGAATCTGGTTATGTGTCTGTACTAGTACCAAGAATTGAAACTTTCAAGCGGCAAAAGCTGGCATCAAATGTCTGGTCTGATCCATCAATTTATTTCTGTTCATCAGTGTAGAGAAATTAAATCTCTGTGATTAATGTGTTGCTAGGAAATAGAAAAGGTGCACAAATATATACATATAATTTTTTTTTTTTACAGAATACTTTGATATTGATAAGGTGACAATATTCTGTACAGTATATGTGGATAAAAATTGGTGCTATGAGAAGAAAAATATCTTAAGAAGGGACCAGTAGTTTATGTGGATGTGATGGCCAAGCAGACAGAGAGGTCAAATACAGTAACAGTAATGCAGCCTGAAAAACACAACAGAGACATTTGAGTCTCAAATTCTGACAAGACATCAGTGCATCACCTCTGAGTTGAGGAGTCGTGATTAAATTCAAGATTTTTATAACGTGATATAGACAACACAACTGTATTTGTGCTGCCGCAGCTTTATCAGTACAGAGTGTGTGAGCGTAGTCAAGCCCACACTTTTCCTGTGCATACAAGGAAGGAGACTAATGTTGAAATATTCATTACCAAATCAACATTGAAAATATCTACCCGGGGCTCTGCTGTGCTGCAGATTTAATCTTGGTGTCTGTCTGTAAGATATCTGGATGTCAGACTGACAAAGAGCACAAAGGGCCACAAACAAATACCCTGGAACATACTGTACTTTGGTGAGTGCACCACGGGTTACAATGACCCAAGTAAGCTACACGCTGCTGCCTTTAATATATTTTATTTATAGTCAAGTAATTACTTCATCTGTGTGGGATCAGACAAGGTGTGGTGAAGTTAAATGATATCACAACTGCGGTGCAAAGTAAGGTTCCTCCTACAGCTGGGATCAATGCTAATGTATTTTTTGCAGTAAAACTTTCAATATATCCAGGAAAGTGCTTTGATTTAGAACATGTGCCCTTAAATAGCTACACGTTATATAATGTGGAGGAAAAAGTCAAGTTTCCTGGGTGGATTATGGAGATCTTGTATTTTTCTCAGAGATCGTGATTTTCCAGTTCAGCTCCACAAATTAGATCATGGGCCATTTTCCTTTTTGCAAGTTTGTCCCAAAATGAAAAGATGAGACATGAGGACATGTTATTTATGGCGCTCCTATTGCTAATACGTAGGCTTATGTGTTCATCATTTTTACAGTGTTACTGTGTGATGCCCACACGCAGAAATGACCACTGATCAGGATCTGCCCATGGATGGCCCGTCAGCCACAGCTGTGTTTGCTGCAAAGGGTATTGATGTAACACCTGATAAAGACCAAGGAGTTATCAAGGTATGTATTGTCATTGCTTTATAAATTTTTTCCATTTTATGTTCAATTCAATTCAATTTTATTTATATAGCGCCAAATCACAACAACAGTTATCTCACAGCACTTTTCATAAAAGAGCAGGTCTAGACCGTACTCTATGATGCTATGTAGGCGTTCAGTCACGAGGACTCATTGTTCCACCCAATAGCATGGCCATGATATAGGCTATTCTATGTGTTCTTTTTCTCTTCTCTGTTACAAAGGTTCCTCAGCTGAACTGGAAGCTTTTCTTTTTGTCTACAGGTTGTGAAGCGTCAGGGGCTAGATGGAGACAGGCCAATGATTGGGGACAGAGTGACCGTCCACTACACTGGGAAGCTACTCACTGGGAAAAAGTTTGACTGTAGTCGAGATCGCAAAGAACCCTTCTGCTTCAATGTGGGCAAGGGTAGGTGACATTGCTGTCAAACCTGACGGTGCATTAGTGTTGTCTCTTACTTAAAGGAATAGTTAAGATATTTTGGAAAATAGGCTTAATTGCTGATAATTAGATGGAGAAGATGGATACCTTGGTTAAGCTTAGCATAAAGACTGGAAACACAGGAAAACAGCTAGCATTTTAAAAACGATAAAATATTCTTTATGTGGTTCATCAACGGGGATAAATTATCCGAAAGTCCTGCGAGGTGTGGACAACTTGGCACAACCATCGAAGCATCGAATCTTCGACTATTCGGGGTCAGCCCTAGACTGTCAGCAGTAACCTGGAGTCTCTGCTAGTTACTGAAGCCAAAGAATAGTCCGGCATATAAACCTACTGTTACAACCCCGGCTCTCAGGCCACAACAAAGAAGGAGGATGCAGCTCAGGTTTAACAAAGATTAACATAAATTTATTTAAAACAACAGAAAACAAAAGGACAACGTGGTAGAGCGGTGTGGAAGGCGCAAGCACCGACACTGGCGTCTGGGCGGGCAGGCCTAAATAGGTTGGGCTCACTGGCCAGGTGCTCCCAATCTCCTTAATTGCCTGCAGGGAGAAACACACAGACAGCACACAGTACAAAGGCCCAACACCAAGACCTCTCGGGGCCGTCACACCTACCCCCTCCTAAAACCTTACACTGGTTTTTCTTTGGATTAAACAAAATACATATATTGTGTTAATTGATGAGCTTTGGAGGTGCTTGTGGGCTGATTTTGTTACCTTTGGACAGAACCAGGCTAGTGGCTTCCCTCTGTTTCCATTCTTTCTAAGCTAACCTAATCACCTCCTGACTATAGCTTCATATTTAACAGACAGAAATGACAGTGGAATCAGTCAGTTATTACATTTTCTTTGAGCCAGTTTTATAAGCTTACAACATCTCTTCTCATAGTCATTTTATTTGCTTCGCCCACTCACAGGACAAGTCCTCAAGGCTTGGGATATTGGTGTGTTGTCCATGCAACGGGGTGAGGTGTGCACGTTTCTGTGTAAGCCAGAGTATGCTTATGGATCTGCCGGAAATCCTGACAAAATTCCTCCCAGCTCTTCAGTAGTGTTTGAGGTAGGTGTGCAACGTCAGTGCTGCCATTTGTGTCGTGCATTAATTCTGCATCCCAGCGACGGCCCCTGATAATTTAGGAGCATGTCAGTCTCTGCAGATGGAGCTCTCTGGTCATAAAATTAACTGGTTTGTCTATTTTAATCCCTCACAGTCAAACAGCCAGAGTAGTACAGTTGCCACTCTTACCATTCTGTTTGGTGCTCATTGGGGATACAATAATCTTAACTGTCAGATTGTACCAAGCATCATGTAATCAGATGTTCAATATTATGAATGATCCCAAGGAGATGTATTTGGATTAAAAGGTACTGAATTTTGGGTAACAGTTTACTTAAGTCCTCCATTTACCATTCATAAGCAGTATGTAAACATTTAATAAATAGCTTACAACACATAAGTGTTTATTAATGTATTTGTCAACAACTATAACTCCTCCTGTCAGCACCCATATGTAGTGACTGATGTATAAACAGATAATGAATGACAATATAATAAAACACAGTTGTAATAAAATTAAATATATCTTCATCAGATTAGTTATAATTGTTGTCATAACATACTGTAGCTTATTAAACACTTAAAATGTCGTCATATCTGTTTATACCTACATTATAGTGTGTTATAAACCATTTGTTAGATGTTTATAAGTTGCTTATAAATTTAAAATAGGCAGTAAGCAAAGTGTTGCTGACTTTTGTTGCCGTTTATCATCTTGCTGTAAACCCCAATGACTTACCAATGGGACAGTCATTACAAACTCAAACCCACACAACTTTATTTTCAATTCTAATGGAGATCCCCATGTGTCCTAAAATACCCAATCTGCCAGTCTGATTGTTCAGAACACATGTATAAACTGGTGAACAAGATATAAAAACACTCGAGTGGCCTTTTATTGTGGCCAGCCTAAGGCTCACCTGTGAAATACCCAAGCTGTCTGATCAGCAATACTTGATATGCCATACCTGTGAGGTGGATGGATCATCTCGGCAAAGGAGAAGTGCTCACTAACACAGATTTTGTGTACATAGAGAAAGTCTTGTCTTGAAAGTGTTGCGTTCATAATTTTTTAAATAATAATAATAATAATTGTTTTTATGTCTGATTAAAGTCTACCTGTACCTTTCTTATATTTTTTCATGACTTATGTGACAACTCCTACTTGTTTTTTTGTTCTGTATTAGTTTTTTTCCTCCCACACCTACTGTAGCACTGTTTACCAAGTTAAGCAGAGCTGTAATTTTTTATTCTGCTTCATATCGCTATTTGTGTAGTACAATGATTAAGTAAACTTTTACACCAAAACAGATGGAGCTACTCAAGTTTGAAGGAGAGATGCTGACAGACGATGGTGGCATCTTAAGAAGAATAAAGGTCAAAGGGGACGGTTACAGTAATCCCAACGATGGAGCAACTGTTGACGGTAAATTATTTTATTTCTTCATGGATCGTTATTGACATTGTGCCAGTTTGCCAGATAACAAGTACATTAAACTGTTAATGTTAGAGGTTAAATAAAATTGTGTCCTATGTCCCACAGTGCACCTGGAGGGAAGCTGTGGTGGTCGACTGTTTGACTGCAGGGATGTCAGCTTTATTGTTGGTGAGGCTGAAGATAAAGGGATTCCTCGTGGAGTGGACCAAGCCATGGACAAGATGCAGAAAGGAGAGTGCTGTGTACTTTACTTAAAACCAAAGTAAGTTACTGAAAAGCTTAAAAATGTGATCCTTGTCACTGCTTTTGCTCTCTCAGTGCAGTTACAGTGAACCAGTCCTTATGTGGGCTTGCTTTGGTAATTATCTAGATTTTCATGCTATGTCCTGTAGTCCTTTATTACACCAATTAAAACCAAATAGAATTATGTCCCCGGGAACATTTTATTTCATGGTACTTAATGTAGATGATGTCAGATGATGATCATAATCATTTAGCTATTTTAATATGAAGTCTTATATGGGTTTTTTACCACAACCAGAAAAATCCCTAAATCTTTAAAAATCCAATATTTTAGCAATACAGTTACAGTTAGTACATATGGGTATGGAGTCAGAATGTGGTCCCGAAAAATTCTACAATAATTATATAAGAAAATCAACCGTATCAACATTAAGGAGTATTTCATCTGTCTTCTCAGAGGTAAAAAAACACTCACTGATAGTAATCTTTTTATCCCACCTTTTGAAGTTTTGTTTTAAACTTAAACAACATAGACAAAACATACGGTACAGACCAAACAACATCATATCATTCCCTTCCTATTATCCTCCAAGGCAAAATCATTACTTATGATAAGTACTATGATTTCATAGTACTCTAACAATTCATATTGAGAGCTATTGCCAGCAAGTAGTCAACTAACACAAATCTGAACTAAGAAAATAAAGAAATACATACAAAAATGAACAGAAAATACTATAAACATAATGCATGTATAACTCAGAACCATCCATTTCTGCCAATGTTGCTTCAATATCTTCAGTATCTCCTTATTCCATGTACCTACAGATGTTTTTTTTTCAGTTAAGAACTACATCAGCCTTTGCATTTTCTTGTAAAATGCATTAAACTGTACAAACTGGCTCTGTTTCTTATTAAAATCCTTAGGGTATAGATTCATAGTAAACAGGTTATAAAGGGAGTTGTATTGAAACCAGCTGTTCTCTTGTATGATGTACTTCTTTCCAACCAACCTACATTCTCGTGCCATGAAAGAGTTTTCCTTTTATATCATGCATTTTGAGCAAGTGTTTGGAACATGGAGCATGTATGACTTATGACATGCGGGAAACCTTCACCAGTGGCAGGTATTTAGAAGTGGCATTTTTTAACATGATATAATTTTTTCCATCCCAGTAGTTTCATCGTCAGATGGCTTGAGTTGACTGTACTGTTGATACTGTTGTTTCCAGTTTGGCCGTTTGATATGTAGGAGTGGGGTGATCCAAAATGAAGGTCTAAACGTTTTTATCAACATGCTCACGCTCTGTCATGGTTTTTCATTTTTTCACAGGTATGGCTTTGGAAGTGAAGGTAAACCAGAGTACAAAATTGGGCCAGACAAAGACATCATATACGAAGTTACCCTCAAAGACTTTCAAAGGGTAAGCACCGCTTTCTACTTTTTATGTCTAAAGAAATAAACAGTCAAATTCTAAATACATGGGACTACATGTGGTTCGTTTTTCCATTTAAGACAAACTAATTGAAACACACTTTGAACGAATTCCTATGTAGAAAACTTCAGTCGAGGACCTAAAACAACCCCCATCCCAATGTTTACTCATGTTAATTGTGTTTCCACAAGGCTAAAGAATCCTGGGAAATGGATTTAAAAGAAAAGCTGGATTTGGCTCCTGGGGTTAAGCATAAAGGGAATCAGTATTTTAAGGTACAGCCCCAATTCATATTTTTTTATCTTTTATCTCGCAATTTTTTTTATTGTTAACAAGTTCATGAAATGGTATTATCTTCCTTTATTAGACAGGACGGTACTACCAGGCTGTCACCCAGTACCAGCGCCTCGTTGTCTGGCTAGAAATGGAGTGTGGCAATGGGGTAGAGCAGCAGAAGAGGATACAGGACTTTATTTTGACATCACACCTCAATTTAGCGTTGTGTTTCCTGCGGATAAAAGAGTTCACACAAGTAGTAGACAATTGCAACAAGGTGAGCTGCAACACCCATTTGATAGCCTATATTAAATATCATTTAATTTCACTACATTGTCTCTCTGTAGCTGTTGAATCTTCCTGGAGATATTAACTAATTACTCTGTGTGTGTGTGTGTGTGTGTGTGTGTGTGTGTGTGTGTGTGTGTGTGTATAAGGCGATTGAGCTTGAAGAGAACAATGAGAAGGCTTTGTATCGCCGCGGGCTGGCCCGTCTCCTTCGTAACGAGTTCAGCTTGGCCATGGCAGACTTTCAGCAAGTGCTGCAAGTCAACCACTCAAATCGAGCAGCTCGTGCTCAGATTTCCAACTGCCAGAGGAAGATTAAGGAACATCATGAACAGGACAAGAAGACCTACGCCAACATGTTCCAGAAATTTGCAGAATGGGATGCCAAGGTCTGTAAACTCGCTGTTCTTGGAAAAGTGTAGACAAACACTTGACTCGTGTGTGTGGTCTTCTTTTTTCTTTTTTTTAACTAAGTAAATAAAATGTTAAAAATAATAAGTCAAGTTAGAAGAAACAATTACAACTCTGAAAATGATATCATGTGTACTAACACACATGCTCTCAATACACAAAAACACATGCCATGGAACTGATGATCATATTCTTTTTAGAAAGCTAGCTATTTGAAATATCGTATTATTTAATGACCTACAAAATAGTTATTTTATTTATATAGCATATTTTAAAATACTGTTTTGCTTTTCAAAGGATAAACAAAATTAAAAAAACATTTATCCTTATACACATAGAATTCAATCAACTCAATACTTGAGGGAATTGCTGGGACGTTGAGGTATGTTATTTGGCACATTTGGCTGCGAGGTTCCTCAACTCCACCTCATCCGTCATAAATTTATGCAGTTTTTTCACATAAATGTCCTGTAAAATATTTTGGGGACAGGACTTCTTCATTCAAATGTATTACATTTATATTGCTGATGTATTTTTAAAATTACATTTTGAAAGTAAATTGTCCTGCTGTATCTTCCTCATGTGTGTCATTGTGCTTTCTTCTGTATTATGCTGACCTCTAGTGTTCATCCATGGATTTTTTGATTTTCCCCTGTGATTTGCTAACATATTGATGCAGATGCTCTTCTCTGTTAAAAGAGAAGGAAATATTTCTGAAGTAAAAAGCAAGAACACAAAATGTCAATTAAACAATCTCTTAATATCAGTGATAAATATAAATTTGGTCATTTTTACAGTTCTGATTTAATTGTCTTTACTTTAACAGATTTTCAGTTGTTCTACAAGGAGGCACATTCTTACCAAATTTCAACTGAACAATTTCATGGATCATGGGACATGCAGTCTATGATTTTAGGAATTTAGGGATTTTGTTTTTATCTATTTAATATCTTGTCTTTCTACAAATGGTTTATTTTTAGACTACTGTAGTCACTTGTGCTTTATCTCTCCTCAACAGATTGGGAAGACAAAGAGGAGACGGGATGAAAGCGTGAGGAGTGGCATGAATGGTGAAGTGGGCATTAAACGACGCCGGAGGAGTCGGGACTATCCATCATAACAGTGACATTTAAAAGACAAAAACAAAGACATGCCTCCCTTTGCTTTCCGAGCCCAGAGAGCAGAGGCAGGAACAAAGTCATATATAGGCCTCTAACCCAAACATCTTTATCCCAAAATCCATCGTTACCATTCCTGCATATAAAACGGTGGGTGTAAGCAGGGACGTTTGCAAGCCAAACAGCATTTCCTCTGTCACATGGACTGTACAGCTGCCAGGATGTACCTCCCTGTGTAAGTAGTACAGCAGAATCAGTGCGTTAAGATTGGTGAGCACTTCTAGCCTCTGCCTTTTATTTAGAAAACAATACAGTTTATTTCTTCAAAAACACAGAGGAATTCCATTTTTTGCCATTAGGTTATTGTGTGGAGTTGAGATGTTTCCGATTCCCAAAGTGTACTTGTTGGTTTTCAGACCTCTGATTTGTATTTAGTATGAAGCCTTTTTCTTGGGCAGCTGCATGCATGTATCATGAGGTATTTGAAAGCTTGAAACATTGCTATTTTTTTAAATGTGCAATATGTACTTTGGGTAAAAGGTGTAACAAGACCCATTAGCTAAGTGGTATTTCAAACAGAAACACATAATGTAACTGAATTCCTAAAAAAAATAAATCAAAAATAACAACAGAGTAGGAAAGCCTGCATTCATTTAATGTAAAACTCAATATACAAAAATACTTCAAGTCCAGCACAAAAAAACTTAAACCCTCCTCCAATAATGAAACATCAATATTGTCATAAATCACTGACCTCAAGTTTCCAATCAGCAGAGGATAGAATCTGAGAAAAGCACAAACTACATAAAATACCAAAACGGTAATTTTGGTGTTCTGGCAATTCCCAATTTTAGGTTATTGCTAGTAACAGCCGAATTAATATGAGATTAATTTATGACATTAAGCTACTAACCATAAAGCCTGTAACAAAACCTAAACTGTGGTGTAGAGAGATTATTTCCAGAAGTACAACTCAAATTTTGCCCCTTGTTTTGGGCAAAGATGAGGCATTGTTTTACAAAGATGGAAAAGGCCACAGCCATGCACTAAAATAATTTATTCATGAATACACACATAATAGGTTGTTATTAATTTAATAAACTTGTGTTTTATCCATTACACACATTATGCAGTGCAAACAATGCTTTTTATGAGAAGCCAGTCCAAAATTCTAGTTGATCAAGTAAAACAACTGATAAGAGGCGTCTATGGAAGTGATAACAGATGATAAAATCATTTTTTGATGGACTGATTTAAATTTAACCTGAAGGCAGCTGAAAAAACTAAATCCTTCTGCACCTCTGACTTTAGTGACCGACGACTCACAGTTTTTTCTTCTGTTGCACTCATTGTATGCTTATCTATATGCTAATTGCATAAACAGCATGGCACAATCTTCAACGCACAGAAATACTTAATTCAACAAGTGAAAACATGCAGCATTTCTTTGATTAACCTCCATCCTCATGATTATGATTCAAACTTCTCACAAAAGGAATTTGATTAAAAAATCACCCCATTCCCATCTTTGTATTTGAGAGAGCAGATACACTAGAATTAACTCTCTGAGAGTGCAAGTGAGATAGGGACACACACACCGCAATTAAGCTTTAAAATCATCAGAACCACATGTTTCACAAATGTCACGAATTCTTGCTCTGGTAATGCGATCAACTACATCCTTTTTCATCTGTGTAGTTCTTTTTGCCTGAGTCCCGGAACAGGTGTCTCTTTATTTCACTGCATTTTTTAAATGTGTGAATGTTTGTAGATAGTGGACAATGATGCACTTTGGTGACTGTCAAACCAACACTGTTATCTTGTCATAATAATGTCTGGATAAAATCTTGACAATAATCTCGCAATGTTTTTTAAACATTGGTTGGTTCTGAATGAAAACCTTAGCTGTCTTAAATATTTTGTTTTAAAAAAAATTCAACAGTGTGTATGTGTGTTATTATATATTGTTGTTAACAAGGTTTTTAAACAGCGTTTTGCTAGATGTTTTCAAGTACTGCTGGCTCTAAACATTCAAACATGTTGTAGTGTGGAAATGAGCATGAAGTAATGTTTCCACCAAGTCCTATTTAAGGATATACAAAATATTTATCCCCCATTGTCAAGTACAAAAAGATTTCCAGGCCTCTTAGTGCTACATCTATTGTTGATAACTTGAAAATGCAAATTACAGGCATAATTTAGAAAGATATGACATAAACAAGCAGCATAAAATGCAGCTCGTTAAACACAGCCGACGTGAGATTATTATGGCATACAAAATGTTTACATGTATTCAAAAGATCTTTGCTGTGTAAAGCGTGATCAGTGTTTTAAACCGTTTTCAGACAACAAATTACATAAGGTACCTTGTTCATGTTTTCTATACATATCCTTTTTTTCCTTTTGCACTTTAAAAGCATTAAATAAATCCAAGAGTTGCACTCAAAGAAAAATGTCATTCTTCAAGTTAGAGCTCAATATAATAATAACTAAAGTTTTCTTTTGACAGTAGCATAGCGGTATTGTCATAAAAATGGTTCAATGGGAAAATTATGGAGTGGTTTTAATTGATCCAATCTGATACAGCATAGCGCTACCCTTCAGCATCACCATTACCAACATCTTTGATATGTTAATTTAATTCTCTTTTTTTGGTTTTGTTAGGGGGGTGGTCCGGTGGTCCAGTGGATAGCACTGTGGCCTCCCAGAAGAAACACTGGCTTTACTTCGTGGAGTTTGAATGTTCTCCCCATGTCTGTGTGGGTTCTCCCACTGTCCAAAGGCATGCGGCGCAGGTTGATTGGTGACCCTAAATTGTCCTTAGGTGTGAGTGTGACTGGTTGTCTGTCTATGTGTGGCCCTGCAATGGATTGGCGACCTGTCCAGGGTGTACCCCGCCTTTCACCCGATGTCAGCTGGGATTGGCTCCTGCCCCCCGCGACCCTGTACGCAGGATAAGCGGTTGACGGATGGATGGTGTTAGGGTATGTCTAACACCATCTGTCTTTCCAGTTAAATTGTCCCTTGCCTTTAACTTAATCTTACATGTTTCCTCATCAAAGAGTTTGAAACTGTTTGAAAAAAACATTAACATTTAATTATCAGAACCTAATTTGTAACTACAGATTTTGTTCAGCTGTGTATTCTTTGAACACTTTATTTTTGGAAAGTCAAATCCAGACATAGGAATAATTGCAGATCATAAATGTGGCCTCACAGCTAATCATTCATACTGGCAGTTAATGTTCACGCTCAGGTTTAGCCAGGTAATCCTTTCCTTTAATGCTGCTACAAGCAGATCAAAGCTCAATTCCAGCTATATAAATTAATTCATTTTAATCCAGTTATCTCACCACAAATCCACGCAAATGTTCACTTCAGCACCTCCGACAAAGTGCAGCTCACAGTCCCAATCAGAGTTTACGCCTCAGTTATTACATTTTTATTTTTGCAAAACTACCAGCGTAACTACTCTGTCACATCTGGCTGTGACTCATAGCCACTCACAGCACGAGGTAGGTGCACTTGGGTACTAACATACGCTGGTGTCGCATCAGCTGGGCGGAGTTTGTTCGTACCGAGTCGCCTATGTCGCCTATGCCACGGGCCAGCCCTGCACTGACATATCACTTTTTAAGTCGTCATGATGAACTTCATAACAGATGCTTATTTAAACATCCAGCAGTTACGGAACAACATTATCATTAATTTGGAGTCAAGTTTCTGTCCACCTGGTGAAGTCTAAGATTCTCTCTCGTCTTCGGTCTGTACCAAATCTTGAAGGAATTATCTGGCTCTTCAGCTGCTAAATGCTGCACTATGTTCTCTAGCTAGGCTCTATCTGTGGCTGTCTGCTGTTTGTTGTTGAGCTGCATGGACATTGTTAGGCCCCACCCAAATAATATTACCAAAAGTAATTATTAGATTTAGATTTTTTGTTTTTGTTTGGGTAGCTAATTCTGAGGTCAGTAGTGGTCTACAGGTCTAAGAAAAAGTGGGCTGTTTTCTTCCAACAATAGGGTTAGGGTTAGGGGTTGTTGTATTACTTATATCACCCATTTACATGAGTAGACAGATAGCATTTAAGTCGTAGCCTACAGAAAAACTCAGCAGGAGCATAGTCTGGCCTAAGTAAATCCCCCCATGCAGCTTTTATGTGTTCTAAAAATAACATTACAGTAACTTTTGTTCAACAGAGGAAAAATCGAAGAAGAGAATATGTCTGTTGTTTTTGCGGAATGTAAGTCATGTTGCGTGACATGAAGTTCATCAGACAAGAAGGCGGGATTTGAAGCAGAAGAAGAAGACAATGACAAAGTAATGGCGCAGCAAAAGCAGCAGGTAGGTAATCACAGCTCAGTGCAGCAAAAGTTGAAGTTATTATGTTATTGGACAAATAACAAATAACAATTATTTCTTTAAATAAAAGTATTCATTGCAGCTGTATAACGTTTTTAATCTAAATAATTGTATAATCTTTTAAAAATAAGCATTTTATTCATGTTAGTCCAAAGTATTATGTTAGATCCTTGCCCACATTTTTTATTTTTTTTTGTGGTATTTTATTCTGTTTTATTCATTTTATATGTAACATTTGTAGACATCCTCAATAAACAGATGTACCAATCATGTTGGTTGTATTATTGTTTTTGGTTTTCTATCTGTTGATACTGCTAGCCTTTAATATGAGCTTCCTCTACTGTGGAAACATGCCTACCAAGATCAGAGTTTAGTGTTCCTAGACCTTTATGACAGTGAGACATTTATGTAGTATTTAAGGACAAAATGTTGGGGGTTACACACAGTAGCTCCGCTTTAATCTTGAAAAGCTACAGAGCTGCAGTCTCTATTCATTAAACTTACACTGTAAATTTCCAGCTAATCTGATGCTTTTTGGAGACCCCTTTCTCTCTCTCTCTCTCTCGCCTGCAATCCACTGGTCTTGTGCCGACAACTACAGTGGGTACGGAAAGTATTCAGACCCCTTTAAATTTTTCACTCTTTGTTTCATTGCAGCCATTTTCCAAAAATCAAAAAAGTTCATTTTATTTCTCAGTAATGTACACTCAGCACCCCATCTTGACAGAAAAAAACAGAAATGTAGAAATTTTTGCAAATTTATTAAAAAAGAAAAACTGAAATATCACATGGTCATAAGTATTCAGACCCTTTGCCGTGACACTCATATTTAACTCAGGTGCTGTCTATTTCTTCTGATCATCCTTGAGATGGTTCTACACCTTCATTTGAGTCCAGCTGTGTTTGATTATACTGATTGGACTTGATTAGGAAAGCCACACACCTGTCTATATAAGACCTTACAGCTCACAGTGCATGTCAGAGCAAATGAGAATCATGAGGTCAAAGGAACTGCCTGAAGAGCTCAGAGACAGAATTGTGGCAAGGCACAGATCTGGCCAAGGTTACAAAAACATTTCTGCTGCACTTAAGGTTCCTAAGAGCACAGTGGCCTCCATAATCCTCAAATGGAAGACGTTTGGGACGACCAGAACCCTTCCTAGAGCTGGCCGTCCGGCCAAACTGAGCTATCGGGGGAGAAGAGCCTTGGTGAGAGAGGTAAAGAAGAACCCAAAGGTCACTGTGGCTGAGCTCCAGAGATGCAGTCGGGAGATGGGAGAAAGTTGTAGTAAGTCAACCATCACTGCAGCAATCCACCAGTCGGGGCTTTATGGCAGAGTGGCCCGACGGAAGCCTCTCCTCAGTGCAAGACACATGAAAGCCTGCATGGAGTTTGCTAAAAAACACCTGAAGGACTCCAAGATGGTGATAAATAAGATCCTCTGGTCTGATGAGACCAAGATAGAACTTTTTGGCCTTAATTCTAAGCGGTATGTGTGGAGAAAACCAGGCACTGCTCATCACCTGTCCAATACAGTCTCAACAGTGAAGCATGGTGGTGGCAGCATCATGCTGTGGGGGTGTTTTTCAGCTGCAGGGACAGGACGACTGGTTGCAATCGAGGGAAAGATGAATGCGGCCAAGTACAGGGATATCCTGGACGAAAACCTTTTCCAGAGTGCTCTGGACCTCAGACTGGGCCGAAGGTTTACCTTCCAACAAGACAATGACCCTAAGCACACCGCTAAAATAACGAAGGAGTGGCTTCACAACAACTCCGTGGCTGTTCTTGAATGGCCCAGCCAGAGCCCTGACTTAAACCCAATTGAGCATCTCTGGAGAGACCTGAAAATGGCTGTCCACCAACGTTTACCATCCAACCTGACAGAACTGGAGAGGATCTGCAAGGAGGAATGGCAGAGGATACCCAAATCCAGATGTGAAAAACTTGTTGCATCTTTCCCAAAACGACTCATGGCTGTATTAGATCAAAAGGGTGCTTCTACTAAATACTGAGCAAAGGGTCTGAATACTTATGACCATGTGATATTTCAGTTTTTCTTTTTTAATAAATTTGCAAAAATTTCTACATTTCTGTTTTTTTCTGTCAAGATGGGGTGCTGAGTGTACATTACTGAGAAATAAAATGAACTTTTTTGATTTTTGGAAAATGGCTGCAATGAAACAAAGAGTGAAAAATTTAAAGGGGTCTGAATACTTTCCGTACCCACTGTACATGCACGTCGCGGTTCCTCGCGGGTCTATTTCAAGTAGCCGGCTATTTAAAAACGATAAAATATTCTTTGTGTGGTTCATCAATGGTGCTAAATTATTCGAAAGTCCCACGATGTGCGGACAACTCGGCACAACACCAGTGAAGCCGGGTCTCAGTCTCTTCAGCAAGTGTTCCTCCTCCGCCACCACGCACACACACACACACACACACACACACACACACACGCGCTCGCTACACCTACACATGCGCACTGACGACCCAGGGTTAGGGTTATAATTTTGGACTTATTTATGCACTTTTAAAAAAAATTATTGAAAGTTTTATTCTTTTTACATGTTTATTTACAGCATTAAACGTTGAAATGTATATTGTAATAGGCTGTATAACTTATTGGGAAAAAACTGGTAGTTCTATGCAAACTAACGTCTTTCAATCCTAGTGACGTCCCTGCTGAGCAGGTAGTGCAGGTAGTGTGTTTTTAGAACTTTTTCGCTGAAAGCAGTTCACTGCTGCATACAAAAACAATACTCTAAGAGCGAGTGAAGCAAAACATTTACAGCCTGGACACCTAACAATGAGCTGAAACTCAGTATAAAGCTTAGTAAAGCTGAGGGGAGCAGCAGAGTCAGGCGATCATTCTCACAGTTCACATTGTAAAGTTGTTTTCATTTTGTCATTTGATACATTGTTATTACAAAAATATCAGTTATAGCCTTTTTAATATTTATGTTTTGTCAAAATGAATTAATCTAATTTTTGGAAAGTTTGGAAACAGCACTTAAACAATCTTACCACTTACTATTCTCAAGGTTTTGGTTATATTACATGATTTTCATCAGCAGGTGGACAGGTTATAATAGAATTGTTGATAGCTGTTGTTGTTGATATTGTGAATAGCTTTACATCTAAGAATGAAGATCATGTGATATGATTGAAAGCTCCAGAACTGCTGTTTCCAAGGTCAAGAATGAACTTTGAACCTAAGCTAACATACAGGAAGTGCTCAAGAAATATGGAAATTTGAACATCTACAATTCTTTGACAACTGGACAAACCATCTGCTTATGAAGCTCATGTGATCCGATCAAAAGAAAGCTGCAGAACTATTCAACAGATTGTATGCTGAGATTGTTTTGTTAGTTTTTGATGTGTGGTATTGCAGCTTTGTTGGAAATTATTTGAAAACTTTCTTGTGTTGATGCATTCAAGGACACAACGGTCCTTTATTGGGCTCTTTACATGTCACCATCCAGAAAAAAAAGGATCTGGATCTGTGTAGCAAATCAAATAATTTATGAATTATTGCCGAATTACTATTAAAATATAAAACTAATGGTAATTTGGCAATGGTTTTAATGATCTAAAATGATCACATTAATCACATTAAAAAGAAATCAAATCGCAACAAAATAAGGAAATCAACTTTTTATATTCCAATCCCATGATTCATTCAATCATACAAACATTTTCATTAATAACATATTAGCTTACTGTTTGCGATGTATTTATTAACAATGTTAACAATGGGTAAAAACAATTGACAAAATGTCACACTGTCAGTTTAAACATGAATTCACATGATTTCTGCCATTATTTGTTTCAAAAACAGACATTTTCTTTTAAAAAACATTTTTTGATTGATCCTTTAATGTAAAAAATGTCATTTTACAGCATTTATGTGTAATACAAGGAACTGTTGCCACAAATCTCAATGGTATATGAAATAAAAACAAAAAAGTTGATAAATTAGTATTTTGTACAAAAACTATAATTAATCAAGCTTAAAGGTACAATGTGTAATATAATGTGTATATAGCCAGAATTTTCTAAAATGAGCGGAAAGTGAAGTAGTAACAGCTCTGATGTCATGTCATAGACAAAGTCTTTGTATTGTGTTGCAGAGATATCTACTGAAGTTAGCATGCTAACCAACTAGCCCTGTCCTGTCCTTGAGATGTGATATTGAGTCACTGTCCAGTCTGCCCTCTGTCCAACATGAGGGGACGTGGACTTATTCCACATATTTGTCAGTTGTGTCTATCAGATCATCACACAAGTGATGGTCTTTTTCACGCCATTGTGGCAAAAGAAGCGATGTCCGCTAATCCAGGAAGTCATAAAAGGCTTAATTTATGACGTTAATATAAAGACAACACGGCACGGCCAGATATAACACATTGTATCTTTAAAGTTGGGACTACAATAAAAATAGAATCTATATAACACTGTTAAAAATACTTTTTTTGTGATTGACTATTCAGCAGGTTAGCATGTATGTTCTTTCATCATGACCTTTGGGTCATAAAGATAATATGTTTTAAGGTCCACTTGCTGGAAGTGCTGACACAATTATGAGATTAATCAATATTTATCAGCAATCAATTAATTATTTAAGTATATTTATCAAGCAAAAACTTCAAACATGTCTTTGGGTTGTTGACTCTTTATCTGGACAAAACAAGACATCTGAAGACATCCTTCATAGACTGTTTAAAAGAAGTGGACGTAGCCACTGTGACATCGCTGTTTTGGCCGTCGCCATCTTGTTTTTTTTGGAACCATGAGTGACCATATTTGAACGAGAGGGTGGCGCAAGCTAGCTTGGTCAGGCAGAGTGCATCCGTAATTCACGTTAACTGTTTTATTAATTTGGATGCTAATTTTGGCTAGTGAAAAACAGGCTTACTTACTACTTAGTGTCTTTTAGTTCAACCAAACAAAAACACAACAGCACTCAAAAACAAGTTCAAGGCTGGTTAAATATACACATTGGAGGGGATACGATTCACTATCCTGACTGACAGGTCAAGTGCCGTTGCCCCCTGTTGGCCATCAGAAAGAATGCAGATTTAAGGCACTTCTGCCCTGGCTTCACCTTCCAGAATCGCTTGAAAAACAATAGCTAGATTCATTGATTATGAAAATAATCATTAGTTGCAGCCCTACTCTCTAGCTGTCAGTGCTGTCAGCGTTCCCTGTACTGTAAGTGGACCTTTGAGCTTAGATTCTCTTTACCATATTCTTGAAAAATGTTTCTGTTGAGTCAGCATTCAGTGATATCATGATACATTTAAAGCTATACCTTCACTGCAGTGTGTGGGGACCCACTCAAGGGTCGCAGGTTAAATCTGAAGGGTCACAAGATTGTTGGATAGGAAAGCAGATATAACTGCTGCACAAAATCATGTTTTTATTCCGACTTTAAGTTTTGATTTTTTGGATGGATAATTTTAGGCAAGTATTGAAGCAAAAATTAGTTTTTGGTTAAACTGGTCACACCCAAATACTATACCTGTGATGAAGTCACAAGTAGACATTATTTTAATTGGACAAACCCCCAAAAAGACTGCGAACCACTGGTTTTACAGGAATTTAGAGTCAGAACCCTGGATTGAGGTCAAGCTTTTCCTTATGCCTCCTGGTGTTTCAGGTATCTGACGCTGACAGTTTGTCACTAGGACACCATGCTGTCAGGAGATGAGGTCCTGTTCAGCATTTCAAGTGATTTCTTCTCTACTTTGTTCAATGAAATGTCTTCAGCTGGAGTACATAAGATGGACATCCTCTAACAAAGAAGAATATAGGTTTTAATAAAAAAAACACAAAGCTTTTTGGGAACATGTTGACCTATTTATAAACGCAAATAGCTTACCTGTCGCAGTGTACCGGGAGTGGTGCTCACTTTGTACAGCATCACGAGAGGGATCATGAGTGTAGAGGATAGAGTAAACCACCAGCCAAGAGCATAGCCCCACCATGGATACTCAGTTGTGTTGTTGAACTTCAGAGGAGTGTATTTGACCAAGGAGAAGACAAACGTTCCCTGAAAATAGTCATGGAGAAAGCAGTTCAAGTCTTGGGAAGACAATTTATAAAATCAACATGTAAATGATATGGGTGACTTGTTAAAGGAAACCTGTAACCTGAAATGTCAGCTGGAGATTGCATTTTCAACTCACTTGTGGAGCTAATGCTAGTTTATTCTCAACAGCTAGCTACAGGTAAAATCTTCCAGCAACAGTTTAAGTAATTTCAGCCAGCAAAATCAATGACCAGGCTTTAGAAATAACTTGCCTCCTTGTGTTGACTTGTGTCTCAAATCAAGGAATCATTCTCTCACAAAAGATTGATTTTCAAGTGGTAAATCTGTCACTGTTTTATATGTACTGTAGCAACACTAACTAAGGGGGCAGAGCTTAGCTAATGGTCAATTGGCATTTAAACTGAGTGAGTGAACTAACTTACTGCAACTCACCATGCATATTACTGGAGTCAAATATTTCAGACAATACTTAATCAGGGGGAACGGCCTGTATCCAATCATGCCATCTATGTTTTCATAAAACCGGTCAGCACCTGTAAGTACATGGAAACACTTTGGTGAGTGAATTCAGCAACACAGTGAAAAAACCAAGGACATAACTATTTTCCATTAACTCGCCGTAAATCCAGCCAATGCACACAGACTGCCCTGTGGCAAAGAGAAGTAGAGTCATCCCACTGCAGGCGTAGTAGTCAAACAACTGGAAAATGTACAGTCCTCCCTGTGCGTGAGATGTGACCTCAATTAGCTGTTGTGTTATGGTCTTTTCACATAAGAAAAAAAGGTTGTAGTAAAATAAGTGATGTGACGTTTTAATATGATCTTACTTCTGTAACCATCACAAGGCCAATGAAGAAACTAACAACACAAACGGCAAGCAGAAGAAGTTTGCGTCGATGGCCAACGTGGAAGAAGGCAGGATTCATGTCAGAAATTGTTGTTACGAAAGCTTCCAGACCTACAAACTGAAACACAGAGATCCCAGTTACACAATAATGGAGGAAGTACTCAGGTGCTATACTTAAGTGCAACAATGTAAAAATACTCCATCACAAGTCCTGCATTCCAAATCCCACTTAAGTAAAAGTACAGAAGTATTATCAGCTACAAGTACTTAAAGTATCAAAGTAAAATTATTGATTGTGCACTATGTCAATCACATTATCTTATATATAGTTAGGTTGTTTAGTCCAGTCCAACCTTGGGGTCCAAAGGGTCACAAGATAAATCTGAGGGGTCGGGAGATGATTAATGAGAGAGGAAAGAAATATAAATAGTATTCATTTTTCAGACTAAAACTGTAATCATTTTCTGTCTTTGTGAAATATTGGATTGTATACGTTTAGAGAGGAAATGTGTCTTTGGTGCCGCTAACTTAGTAATCTGAAATGTGACAACATGCCCCAGCTAAACAACGCTTTTGTCACAAGCCAGAATGATAGACAAGCAGGAACCACTGGTTTAATCTTTAACAATAGATTGTCTTTTATAATCTTATAGTTAGTTTTTATTGTAAATCGTAGTGCAGTAGAAGAGGAAATACTCAAGTACAAGTACAAGTCTAACAAAGTTGTACGTAAATTTGGTACTAGAGAATATGTACTTAGTTACTTTCCACCACTATGCAGCACATGTAATAATTAATTTATATTTGCATTCAGATCCGGATCTGCATCACAATACACAAAGTGACAAAACGTCATGTGATACATGAGCCAGATTTTGTCATATTAGTTAGTTCATTAGTTCATTACAATTAATAATTATCAAAATGTCCTGAACCTTGATCTGAATCCACACCAAGACACAAGTACTCATTCCGTGGCTCATTGCTGAACTTATCTAAATTCAATGAAATCTGTTTTCTAGTTTTTGAGGTATTCTGGAAACTAACACACAGACATAGAAAAAAACAGGACCAAAACTATAAATTGATCCGCTTTTATCTGAGAGACAACCAAGGGCTGAAGATCAAAAGCCAAATCTACAAGTTCATAAAGCATGTTATGCAATGTATGCATCACAAATGGCACATTGCAAATGCAACCCATTTTTATTACTGTATCCTTTGTTGAACAAAATTCATTCATAATTTTATTTCATGATCCTTAAATACATATTGTTATTCAAGAGAGAAACAAAACTGCTTTACTGGTTGTCTCACTTGTAAAGAGAGTCAGCTCACCTCACTGTCCAGTCCCAGCAGGATGATCATAATGAAAAAGAATATCGCCCAGAGCTGAGGAAATGGCATCATGGCGACTGCTCGAGGGTAGGCAATGAACGCCAAGCCAGGACCTGCAGTGAGAATGAGGTAGCCAAAAGAAATAATGGACATTTATTTTTTTTCTGCTGTTGAGTCAAAATATTTCACTTTTATGGCCTGAAACTACAATGCTCATTAAGTTAATGGTTCATTAAATCTTTGATTTATGCTCTTATCAAAACATTTTCTATGTTTTTACCTGACTGTGCCACTTTTGATATGTCTGTGTTCTGCTCATATGCCATGAATCCAAGTGCAGAGAAGATGGCAAAGCCAGCTACAAAACTGGTCCCGCTGTTCAAAAGGCACAAGTACAAACAGTCCCTAAAAACAACAAAAAATAAATTATACTAATTTGTTTTGTATTAAATGTATAAAACACATCACATCACATTTTTCTTTCCGTAGTTGTGAACTCACACCCTAAACTGGCCTATAAAGGCTGGTTAAATGTTTGGCATGACTCCTGAATATTATAATCTCTTTGGACGAAACGATAATTCAACATAATGGGGTTCCTTTTGTATAAACTACTCCAAAATATGTTGCCTAAAACGGGCATTGAAGAGGCTCAGATGTTCTGGCGAACGTCTCAGAAAGTCTTGTGTATCTTAAGCGGTGACGCTCGGAAACATTTACATTCTGACATAAGGTGTAGGTGTATGTAGGTGTATGTGGAAATGTAGGTCTGTATCACATGTAATAACGAATTTGTCATTTTTGTATACTTTTGTATGATTCTTGTCTTGAACTGTTGTGCTTTTTTAAATCACTGGCCTGCTGAAGTTGCTATCAGGGTAGGGGTGTCTGTGGCTCAGGAATAGAGTGAGTTGCCTGTTAATCAAAAGATTGGTGGTTCAATCCCAGCTCCCCCTGGCTGGAGGAACCCCTGGTTGCTGTTTCACCAGTGTAGTTTGTGTTTGAGCACTTAGGCTTAGTGTGTGAATGGTATTTATTGTAAAAGTGCTTTGAGTGATCGCAAACACTAGAAAGCTGCTATACAGAGCATTTAAATTGTTGGAATGTGTTCTTTCTTTTTGTGTGTGTTTGGTACCTGAAACACAAAATAGATATTATATCAAACTTACTTGTAACAGTTATTGTTGTACTTATTATAACTGCCAAGTGCAGTTAGACACCCAATGCAAATAGCATAGGAATAAAATATTTGTGTGCCAGCATCCATCCACACCTGAAAGACAAATAAATGGCGTGCTTTTATCTACAATAAATTGCATGAGAGGCTTTAACTGTGTGTTGCACTCTGCAGTGAATCTAGACAGAACCACCTCATGAACATTTACCATAGTTTTTACACAGCTGTCGACGTAAGTGACAACAGCAAAGCCTGTAAATACAGTTTCTCTGAAAATTGTGATACCATTTAAAACCATGTAGGCCTATCAGTAACCAGTCTTTCAACCTCCTGAACTCTGATTTCACTCCCAAAGTATCTGCGTGTTTATAATATGTATTACACTAAACTTCTAGACATGTTTATTCCAGCCCTTAATTTAAGCTTTTTGATAAAACCCAACACACATTTATACACATTTCTGTATAATTCAGCTTTATATCTTTGGAAACTTCAAATAAACAGCTGTTTTTGAAAAGGAGGTAGGTTCAGCAAAGCCACACATTGTTAAAGAAGTGAAATCTGCTCATACCTGTGGATCACTGAGGCGGGATGGATCTGGGTAGAGGTAAAACTTGATCCCATCTAAGGCCCCAGGCAACGTGAGTCCACGAACAAGCAACACCACCAGCATCACATATGGAAATGTTGCAGTAAAGTAAACTACCTGTGGAAGAGCCATGGTGAGGGTATATGAGGGCAATGTTTGCTTTATTTCACTTGCTTTGAGGTACTTAGCACATATCACATAATAAATAAAACCTAACTTATACTGGATTCTGTCTGAGAAGGTACAGGAAACACAGTTTACTACCCCAAAGCCTAAAGGTGCATGAACTTTCATTAGAGACAAGACAATGCTAACATGCAGGTATCCATGTTCACCTTCTTAGTTTAGCAATGGACAACATTTCAAAACGTTTCCATGACTTTTCAAAGACCCATAATGACATTTCCATGACCATTCACAACCTTTAAAAACAGAAATGGAGCTCAGGGTAAGTTCAACCCGGAAGACTACCTTTATGCTTCATTCATTCACATGCAATCTAACAGCTGACTACTGGCGTTCTCTCTTTTGTTTTCCAACCAGATCAGCACAGCAAATCATGTAGTCACAATCAAACTTTTAATCCATTCTCTCCTCTGCCGCCAGCTGTCACTTCAGTACAAATCGCTGTGGCCCTCCTCCCTCTTCTCATCTCATCCAGATCCTCAGCAATTTCTTTATCCCTTATCCCCACCACCTAGTGTCTGGACTGTTTTTCTGCCTCGGCACTCAGCCACCCTGACACTCCATTGTGTGAGTTTGCTATACCTCCATGGCTTTACCACCCCCATTAAATAATGCGATGATTAATCGCCAAATACTTTTCACATTCTCACATTCAGTGTATCACATTTTAACAAATTGTTGTTGTTCACTCAGTCAAGTTTTTCGTGATTGAACTGTTTTATACAGGTCTGTTTGTGTCCTATACAGTGTAGCATATGTTACTATGAAATATTTATTATTGAATGACAATTACAGGTACAGTCAATAGAAGAAGACCTTTATAAAAAATACTGTAAAAAATGTAAAAAAGTCCTTTAATTACAATTGTTGCTGCTGTTAACACTTTTTGGACTCTTTAATTATGGACACTTATCATGTTTTGTCTTGTCGTTTCTATTGTCTTTCCTTGTATATGTCTTTACCTTTGTATTTAAATTATTTAATTTATTGTCCTGCACTGTGTTAATTTTGCATTGTTTTTTTCTGCACCATGGTCCCGGGGACCATATATCTTATGTATACCTGTATATATTGAGGAATGATAATAAAACCATGTCGTGGCTGCCTCACTCTTAACACTGTTTCTCACTCATGTGATGCCTGTACAGAGCTGGGAGGTCATATGCTCACTACACACATTGCGTAGGGCCCTGCAAATTAAGCAAGGTCCCACCTCACATTCATGTCAAAGCAAGTGTCAGTGTTTACGACTTTGGTGAGAGGATGAAGAGGGTCTATTCTTCTGGGAACAAGAAGAGAAATACAAACTTAATGAGAGTGAATTGAGGGAACAGCAATCAGGTAAACTTGGGTTCTCTCCTCTCAAAGTCTGATGTCAGAAAATAACACCAGTTAATGAGCTAGCTGCAGTGCATCTCTTAGTCTGTCTGTGCCTTGGTTGCTTGTCAGACTTTGTGCAAGACCAGTGTTGGAGTAAAATGCTCCTATTTATTATGTTTGATAAACAAATACAGGCAACAGTGTTTATAAACCGCATCTCAGAAAAGATAAACATGTTGCATGTGAACATGCGTTTATATGTGTTTGCACAAAATGGAACTCTCTGTGAGGACCAGCAAAGAAAATACACAGATGTGATGGCACTCCTCATAGGCACCCATAATTTTAAAACAAGACAGTGATTATCCATCTCTCAGTCAAGGTTACAACTCTGGACGAATGCAAGATGGAAAGCAATGAATTGGCATTGACTATTGACTATTAAAATGTTGAGCAGCTGGGCTGACTGGGCAATTTGGATGCACATATTTCAAAAAATAATTAGTGTCAAAGTCCAAATGGTATTTTACATTTGAAATGAATTAAAGGAAACCTGATGGAGCTGATAACATTAATATCCAGCAAGTATTATGTTATCTATAATTTGCAGGGGCTATGCTTAAAGTCTATTCATCCAGCGCTGGATTTTACTTAACCTAAAGACAAGTCTACAAGAGGTTTCCATTCAGGCTTATTACATAGACAGACTGTTAAATAAGGGAGGATTGTAGTAAGAACGCTGGGGTGTCAGGTGTAAATGTGCAGCAATGGCAAATTGTTTACATGGCTCACGAGTAAGGTAGGAGGTCCCCATAGCAGAATTTGAGTTGAGTTTGCAGACGCTTTGCTGCTTGCTCTTGCCTTCTTCTTTTTCTGATATTCTATTTTTTTCCTGCTAGAAATTAGGAGCAGTGGGACTGTAATTTATTCAGATAAAGTAAGCTATTTTCATATTTTTAACACTTTTATGATCTCAATACTACATAAGTACAGCCTACCAACAACATACTGCAGTGACTGGAAACGTTGTAGCCAACGCTAATTAGCAGCAAGATGCCCCCCTTCTCCACGAATGTCTTCCACAAACATCTACAGAAGATTGTAGAGCTGGAAACCGAAATCCACCATTTAGTAGTAGTGAATGTGGAATTGAACGGACTATGTGGGTACAACACTACTTTACCATGGACCCAAAAAAACAGGCCACAGTGAAAACTAATGTCTGGGCCTCAAACTCTGACTGTGGGTGACCTTGTTGTAAAAGATGTAAGAAGCATGTGCATTATATTGATCTGTTGAACACAATCAGCTCTCTGAATGCTGAGGTGTTATCAGAGGCCCTCTACCACCAGTCAGAAGAGTTGAGAGATTCAGCAGATTGTTGTCACTGAACACATGGCTCAACTGCATGTTTGTCCATTCAGTCCACTTTATTGACAACTTCAACTTTGTCTTGTACAACAGACATCTTTCTAAGGCAGATGGACTTAACAAGTCAGGAGTAAATATTTTTTAGCTCAAACTCCTATGTTACTCATCTGTTCCCCATGCCAAGGACAAGAGACAAGAGGAAACAAAACAACACCTTGAAGGAGAACCACCTCAGCCCCCACCTGAAGAGAGTTTAGATCATGTGAGACATCAGAGCCAAGAGGAAGAGTCTCCACCACCCTCACTAACAACTACCTGTGCGGATTCACCGGGTCTATTTACCTGGTCTGTACTTCTGATCCACATCTCCTACAGTCATACCGATTTATACTTTTCTGATCACTGTTGGTTTAAGTAACTGCATCTCTAGACAGGACACCACGGTTGAATTTCAGCATTATGTAATGTAACAAGAAGTCGTTAATTTAAATAGTTTACCTGTCACCTACTCTGATCCACTCAGTGTATACACACACACACACACACACACACACACACACACACACACACACACACACATAAAGAGCACTACGTTGCTGTCATTTTCTAGATGCTGTTTAAAGTTATAATGTTTGATCACTATTTCTATTCTATTTTTCCATTTTTATGGGCTATTTAGGATCTTGGGGTAATGCATTTATAATAATTTTAATAATACTTTTTAAAAAGTGTAAGCAAGTTCAATAAAAATATGTCAAAAATAAGTCAACGAGTAATCGTGTTAAATAAATAATGGTGATCTCAATATTAATCAAACTAATCGCAGCTTTCTAAATTGCAGTCTTTAAAGGTAACAGAAAAAGAATGGTGGTTCTGCTAAGAAACAGGAAGCACTCAACATATTTAGCAAATTTCAATTCAATTCCTCGTCAGACACAGCCTGTTGCAGGCCGATAATGCTTTTCACACTCTAAGTATAGCTTTATTAAACATCAGGTCTTTGGAAGGAAAATCATTTTTCATCACTGATTTTCTCATCCAGCACAATCTTAATTTTATGTTTTTAACTGAAACTCGGTTAGACCAAGATAACAGTGCAGCTGTTCTTATCGAATCTAACCCTCCCAATTTTAGTTTTATGAGCGAAGCAAGAAGATGTCTTATGGAAATATTTTCTTTTGAATATATGGCTCTTCAGTTGAATTCCTCTTATCAAGCTATATTTGTAAATATCTGCATGCCAACTAAATACTGTGCAACCTTTTTTGATGACTTTGCTAAACTGCTGTCTTTAATCTGTATTGTTTTTGACTGTAACATGCATGCTGACAACCCCCAGAACAGAAGGATTAAAGAACTGTGTAGTATTCTGCATGTGACGGAGCCCACACACAATAAGGGGCACACTCTTGATCTAATTATCTCCAAGGGACTTAACATTTTAAAGGCTGTGGTGACTGATGTTGCTCTTTCTGATTATTCCTGTGTTTTCTTTAAGAGCGCTATCTCAATACACACAAATGTTAAAACAAAGGTAATCACAAAATGGAATTTTACTGAAAACACCAGTGAAATATTTTTTCAGGCATTCTCTTCCTCAACCACCCTCTAATGGGTCTCAGTCATTGAGCTTGTAGATAATTAAAATTTAAAAATGATATTTATTCCATTGCACCCACTAAGTTGAAAGTGGTCTTTGAAATTTGCCTCCTTCTTCAACTACAATTTTCAAGAAATTAGACGAGCAATCAGTGCCTCCATATGAGGTACAGGATATGTGTTGTCCACTTCAATTAAATCAATTCAACTAGCATGACACAATTTGATCCTAACACACATAAAAACCTGGAGGCCACAAAACATCAGAAATCTGTCAAAAGCTTTTTGCATGGCCTCAGATCTTTTAAGAATTGTCAGAGAGAGAGAGAGAGAGAGAGAGAGAGAGAGAGAGAGAGAGAGAGAGAGAGAGAGAGAGAGAGAGAGAATTCACACTGGCAAATTACCTGAGCACAATAAAATGTCCTGAACTAAGAAAAATGTTGACAACATGCAGACTGAGTGAACACAGCCTGACCATAGAAAAGGGTCGCCACAGACAGAGCTGGCTACCACAAGAGGAGAGACTCTGCTCCCAGTGTGACACAGGACAGGTAGAAACAGAGCTGCACTTTCTAACCTCATGCCCTAAATATAAAAAACTAAGACCAAAACACAAACATTTCCCAAATATACCCTGAATTCAAATTTCTATCAGACACACAGAAACTCCCCTATATACTGGGAGAAATGCCCAAATGTCAAATAACTGCTGCAAAATATGTCTCCTCATGCCATGAAGTGGGGACAACCTGTTTTATTTATTTATTTTATTTTATTTTAATTTTTAATATTTTAATTTTTTTAACACACACACACACACACACACACTGTTTTATTTATTTATTTTATTTTTATATATATATATATATTTTTTTTTAACACACATACACTTTAATTACTTGTTTAATGAAATGTATGGGGTTGATTGTTCTTATGTAGTTTGTATGATGCTTTGGCAACATTGTTGTTACACATTCATGCCAATAAAGCTAATTTGAATTGAAATTGAATAGAGAGAGAGAGAGAGAGAGAGAGAGTCTCTGTCAATCATATTTTCTATACATGTGTATCAGACTTTAGACACTGTTTTGCAAATGTTAGGGATGATTTGAGAAATCTACCAAAGCGACTAAGAAAAACTGTAAACTGTTTTGAATCCTACTTTAAGGACAGGGAGTACTTTGTGTCTATATGTAATTACACATCTGAGCTTACAAAAATGACCTGTGGAGTTCCCCAAGGCTCCATTCTGGGGCCTGTTCTGTTTAACATGTACATGCTTCCACTGGATCAGATTTACATAACTACATCACTAGGGGACTATGATCCATACAAGCAATGAGTAAGTCCACTGAGAAAATCAATACTTGGATGTGCCAACATTTTGTTGAATTAAACAAAGCTGAAGTAATTGTTTTTGGAGCCAAGGAACAACAATTAAAATTCAGCGCTCTGCTTCAATCTGCAATGTTAAAAACCACAGATCAAGCCACAAATATTCGTGTACTCATGGACTCACGCCTGAATTTCAACAGCTACATTAAGACAATTACAAAGTCAGCCTACTATCACCTGAAGAAAATATCAAGAATTAAAGGACTTATGTCTCAGCAGGACCTGGAAAAACTTGCCCACACATTTACAAGTATAAATGGATCACATCATTCCTGTTCTGAGGTCATCACACTGGCTTCCTGTCTGTCAAAGAATTGATTTTAAAATACTGTTGTTGGTTTATAAATCACTGAATGGAACAAACTCCCAGAAAACTGCAGGTCTGCTGAAACTCTTAGTTCTTTTAACTAAAGGCTGAAGACTTTTCTTTTTGCCACTGCCTTTGATTAAATCAAATGTATCTTACACTGCACTGTAACTTTTACTGTCCTGATTTATCTCGTTATTTTTTGTTTATTTTCAATGATGGTGCACTTCTAAACCGCCATCATTGAGTCCATCCTCACCTCCTCCATCACCATCTGGTACACTGCTGCCACTGCCAGGGACAGACTGCAGCGTATCAATCGCTCTGCAGAGAAGGTGATTGGCTGCAATCTTCCATCACTTCAGGACCTGTACGTCTCCAGAATTCTGAGGCTAGCAGGAAAGAGCTGACCCCTCCCACCCTGGACACAAACTGTTTCAGACTCTCCCCTCTGGCAAGAGGCTGCAGTCCATCAGGACCAAAACCACAAAACCAGCTTCTTCCGGTCTGCAGCTAGCCTCATTAACAAGACCCGGGTCCCCCACTGACACGCCCCCCTTTCAAATAATACGTCTCTGCACATGTAAATACAATTTCATTTCATATCATGGAAAAACCTGGCACATTGCACATACTTGTTGTTAATTGTTAATCTTTGTTGTTGTATATTTTTATATTGTCAATTTATATATTTTGTTGCAATACGTGTGCAATGTCTGTGTAAAACACTTGACAATAAAGCTCCTTCTGATTCTGATTTATTTTGTATTTACCTTTTCATTAAATTTAAATTACTTTTTATATTTTCCTATGAGCTTTGCTTTTATATTTTATGTAAAGAACTTTGAATGTTCTTGTTGTTGAAATGTGTTATACAAATAAACTTGCCTCGGCTAGTGATAGATGCATCATAGTAGAAGAGAATTGTGTCTGCTAAAAGTACTGTTATCTCATTCCTAATACAGTGTCCTTTAACAGTTGAAGAGTCTTTGCATACAACATGCAAAATACCAAAGACTTTGTCCTACCTTTCCTGTGGACTTTACTCCTCTCCACACACAAAAGTAACAGATGATCCAGGACAACAGAAGACACAGAGCCAACTCCCATCGTATGCTGCCTAACTCGTGGACACTTCCTGTGACATTCAAAATTCTTCTCCTGCAAATCACATTTCAAGTTATAATTCATAACTGTCAACTAATTTTCAGAGCTTATTGTCATGCGTGAATTACTCCATACTCACTCCCAAAACTCTCTCACTGGTGAAGTTGAATTTGTGGCTACAGTCCAATTCAAATGATCAGCCCTCCGATCAAACTCCACACAGGTCTCTGTTGTGGAGGAACACAGGATGTTTTAAACAAGACAATCAAGGATGTATACACACATTATCAAAGTCCTCCTTTGTAAAAAACCTTCAACCTTTAGCATAATTCTCATGTTGAATAAAAATGTAATATCTTGGACCCCTAGCATATCCACATCTCTTTTTATTCCTGCGGGTAAATTGTGATCGTATTTTATTTAATGTATTTAATTAGGGCCTGAGCATGAAGTGTGCCAGGGGGGCTAAACATACTTGAAAACTCACCAAACTTTGCACATAATTCATGCGGGTGCGAGCGAGCGCCCCCTACAGAGCAGCACCTGGACAAAGTTTGACCTACGTGTACAACATTTCTGTGGTATGTGTATCATGTCCAGACTTACAAAAAAGTCTCTTGGGGTGATGCCCGACACCCAACAGGAAGTTAGCCATTTTGGATTAATTTTTGGCGATTTACACGCTTTGCACTTTGTACAAACTCCTCCTGGGGATTTAGTCCAATCAACTTCAAATCTTTGCTTTGCAGTCTAAACCCAGTGACAATTAAAAGTTGTACAAACGGTGAGTTTTCATTCATGAGCATGCCCATGGCGTGGCCTTGAAAATCGACGATTCGCCAAGAAACAGGAAGTTATAATAACTTCAGTATACATGCTCACATCTGCACCAAATTTGATGTAGATAATAAGAGTCCCGACCAGAACACAGGAATTGACTATGTTTATGCTGTGAAAAACCACTTTTTGCAAGTTGGCTATATCTACTTAAAAACTATCTCCCACATCTATCTATCTCACATTGATGATGTCATGATGTAAAGCGCATGACTTTTTCTTCAACGGCATATCCTTGGCAGGGTGGCGAAGTTCCATGCTTTACCATGAAAGGAGAAGTCATCGTATCTTAATTGTACATGCTCAAATCTGTACCAAACTTTGCATGCTTGATAACTGCCCCCCCCCCCCCCAACACATCTACACTCCAATTTTTATTTGTAGTCGTAGTGCCAAGGGCTCTACAGCGCACCGAACAGGAAACTGAACGTGACGTATAACATCTGCGTGCAACATCCGAAGTGTGTAGCAAATTCACAGCGGCACCGGTAGAGCTCCAGAATCTGCAAAACGCCCGACTCACACCTCAGTGCACTACAAGTGCGAGGGCCCGTCCAACGCTGTTTGGAGCTTTAATTTAATGTTTATTTTTACTTATAAAGTGTATGGCCATTTCCTTATAGCCTATATTAAAGTAATGACAATAATACATGGATTCAAATAACATTTTATACTAATTTGTGGTATCTGAAGGAGGAAAGTTTCTCTGTGTTCATCTAAAATATCAGTTTAAGATTAAATTGATTATTAAACTGATCTTTAAGTACATTAAGTAACATGAAGTTAAACACCATGCCAGGCAGGGCAAACCTGGCACCTCAGGACTTTGCACTCCAGATCCCAAACCAGACCCTCAAATGTGTCCTAAATCTGATTAATACCTAAATCTCAAATGATACCTAACACAATAACAAAAGAAATATTGTAAATGCAATAAATCATTATTGCAGTAAAGATTAATATTAATCTAGTTATTTGTTTGTTTCCATGTGTGTTTATTCAGTCAGATCACATACTGGGACCTACCTGTGTTCCAGCTGTTTCTGCAACTTGCCCAGGGAAGTTCAGAGGTGAAAGAGAAGAAGAGATACAGGAAAGCCCAGGCCAATATAATGATGTAATAGATACTGGAGTATAAGACAACCACCTGACTACCATAACCCATCCCTGATAACAAAAAACAAAACAAAATAAGTATTTAAATAACATGCATAACACAACATCTAATTAAGGCTGTTATATAGTTTTAGAATTAAGTAACAAACTGAATCCAGAATGTCACTGCGATGTATTGTAAACCATCAAATTAAAAAGTGATTAAACAAAGAATAGGATAACATGAAATAATACTGATTATATAAAAATATCTCCATAAGATGTAATAACTAAAGGAAAAACAAACACAACAACCAACAAATTAGCTCAAATAAATACAATACAATCTAAAACAAATAAAATAATACTCATAAAACATTTGAAACAATATGAAATAATCGATATTAAATTATAAATATAAAAGTATATTAAGTTGTAAAGAAAATGTATGAAAAAAGCAATAAATGTTGCTTAACTTAGCCAATAATACAGTATTTACTGTAGTTTGGCACACAGGGAATGCAGTTCCTTGAAGACTTTATACACTAAATTAAACTGTATAAAATATTTTAATTATTTCAATTAAAGGCCATCCACATGAAACAATTTGATTTTGATGCTTTTGCAAAATACAGACCAGCAGATAAGTGAAGGATCCTGCTCAAGAACAGATTGTCATTGTTATTTCTACTGTTGTAGATTTACCAAGGTACAGTATGTGTGTTTCAATGTATGTGTAGGAAGATAAACATCAGTTTTTGTAACTTATTCAGCCACATGCGATAGCCCACAGGAGGCAATGTTTAACCAATGCGAACCATCTGTTAAACACGAATAACCTGTTAATTATAGGTGTAAAGGTTCACCACACCTGACACAGTTTGTTGGGTTTCTTAGAACAGATGGTGTAAAATGGAGTGAAAACTCTGTCTCTACATAAAAGAAGGCTGGTGTATAGATGTCACAGTGATATTTTTCATAAACTGTAAACCGTTTTATTCACTGTGGGAGTTTTCCTACAGCTATGCTGGAAAGCTAGAAACCTGCTTTGCAGCCAGCGACCCTGCGTCAGTGTGGAAAAGCCTACAGACACACACTAACCACAGGAGACCATCCCCAACACTGCTGGTAATCAACGACTGGCTGACAAGCTGAATGGCTTCTACTGTGGGTTTGAAAAGCCCACAGTCACACCCATAAGCGGAGGTAGCGTGGATGCTTGAGGGCGGCCAACCCAGGGCTACGGCTGGGTAAGGGCCCCGTTACGTGGGCCGCAAATGTTTTGTCAGTTGCTTGCAGACCCGACCAAACAAGAGAATTATATACAGGGTACAATCAACATGAACAACACCCAGTGCTGCCATCCTTGAAATGGTCTCATGGTTTCAATAGCAACCACCTCATGAAAGAAAATTACCGACCAAAAACACAATATTCTAAGGAGACACGTATAAAAAAACATAAATCACAAAGTAACTTTTGTATTTCAAAGAAACAGGAGACTTATTAGAAAATTTTAACAAAACTCCCTTCAGGAGTTTTATCACCGTGGACTCACACAGGCAGCGTGCGCGCTGCGGTTTGGTTCCGTCTTTAACTTACCCCTCTCTGACCCCTCACCATCACTCATGATCTGTGCAGATGATGTGCGCCAGCCTTTCCAGAGGCAGAAGATCAGGAAGGCCCCTGCCCCAGTGTGTCTCCATCCTGCCTGAAAATCTGTGCAGACCCCCATCTTCATACAGATCTTCAACAGATCATTGGAGCAATGTGAAGTTCCCTCCTGCTTCAAACGCTCCACAATCATCCCGTTCCCCAAAAAACCCTCCATCTCTGGACTAAATGAGTACAGGCCTGTCGCCCTGACATCTGTAGTCATGAAGTCCTTTGAAAGACTGGTGTTGGCCCACCTGAAGGACATTACAGGCCCCTTGCTGGACCACGTGCAGTTTGTCTACAGGGCTTACAGGTCCGTGGATGATGGAGTCAACTTGGGACTGCATTACATCCTGCAACACCTCGACCCTCCAGGGACATATGCAAGGATCCTGTTCGTGGACTTCAGCTCGGCATTCAACGTCATCATCCCGGATATCCTCAGCACCAAACTCACCCAGCTCACTGTGCCAGCCTCCACCTGTCAGAGGATCACAAACTTCCTGACTGACAGGAGTCAGCAGGTGAGGCTGGGGAACATCACATCCAGCACCCGGACTATCAGCACTGGTGCGCCCCAGGGGTGTGTGCTCTCCCCACTGCTCTTCTCCCTCTACACCAACGACTGCACCTCAGGAGACCCATCTGTCAAACTCCTGAAGTTTGCTGACGACGCAGCTGTCATCGGCCGCATTCGGGACGGTGATGAGTCGGCCTACAGAAGTGAGGTTGATCAGCTGGCTCTCTGGTGCGGTCAGAACAACCTGGAGCTTAACATGCTCAAAACTGTTGAGATGACCATGGACTTCAGGAGGAGCCCCCCTCACTCTGCACCCCCATCACCATACTCAACAGCCCTGTGTCTGCTGTGAATCCTTCAGGTTTGTGGGATCCACTATACCCCAGGACCTAAAGTGGGAGCCCAACACTGACTCTATCATCAAGAAGGCCCAGCAGTGGATGTACTTCCTGCACCAGCTCAGGAAGCTCAACCTGCCTAAGGAGCTGCTGATCCACTTTTACAAAGCCATCATCCAGTCTGTTCTCTGCACGTCCATCACTGTCTGGTTTGGCTCTGCCACCAAAAAGGACAAGGACAGACTACAACGGACAGTCAGGACTGCAGAAAAAAATCATCGGTGCCAACCTGCCCTCCATCCCAGGACAGGAAACGGGCAGGAAACATCACTGCAGATCCATTGCACCCCAGACACAATCTGTTCCAGCTTCTCCCCTCTTGTAGGTGCTACAGAGCACTGTACACCAAAACCAACAGACTCAGGAACAGTTTCTTCCCACAAACCATCACTCTGATGAACAGCTGATCTCTGACTCACAGTATCAGAACAATTCCTGTGCACCCACCTACCTCAAGTTCATAACACTTGCAAAAAATAGTTTATTCCATTACTTAATTTATTCCAGCATCCTTGCACTATGCTCCATCGCACTGTGTACATGTGTACATGTATGCATGCATGTGTATGTGTACCTGCAATGCACATCCACCTCCGAAATGTCCATAATTAATGATAATAATTTTACTCTTGCATCCTTTGCACTCTGCTCACTGCACTATTTGTCAATATGTCTATATTGTCATGCTCAGGCGTCACATATACAGACTTTGGAAAAACTGTGACTATTGTACGCAATGTGTATGATACCCATGGTTCTGTCACACTCTGCATGTCTGTCTCTGTTTTCCCCTACTCTCTCTCTCTCTCCCTACCTTTGCCTCGTTAGCCTCATGTCTTTCACCTGTGTTGCTCCCGCCCTGCTCATTAGTCCCTGTGTGTATGTACCTTGTGTTTCTGTCTTGTCTTTGTTGGGTCATTGTATGTTGTCACCCTGTGTTGCAGTTTGTTCTCGTGTCTTCAGCCTTACTCGCCGTGTCTCCCTGTTACCCTGCTCATTTTTGGATTCTGGTTTTCACCCTTTTGGATTTCTGTTGGAAAGCCTTTGTTTTTGGACTCAGTCAATCAGCCACTCTGTTGTAAGTGTGCTCGTCTTTTGTTTGCTTATTAAAACCCCTCTGTACTGTTCCTGCTGGCTTTCGTGTCCTGCATTTGGGTCCTCCAACCTACTGCCTGCTTCACCCATACCAAACCCTGACAGAATGACCCGACCAAACATGGACCCAGCGGACATAGTTAAGTTGCCCAGCACTTGGGAGGCATTAGGGGTGTCTAAAGAGGAGCTAGTAGAGGAGGAATCTCAGTTTTTTGAACTACTGTCAAAAATGTGGAGAACGGACCCAGAAATGGCCCTGCTCGTTGCCTCCTCCCGGTGGAGAAAGACTTTTGATTTAGAGACCGTGTCAAGGTTCTGTTCCACAACCCTCCAGCGGGTGAATGCTAGCACTGCTAGCCCTCGGCCTGTCCAGCCTGTTTCCTGGCCCGCTAGGGCTACTAGCTGCCAGCCTGAGCCGCAAGTCTTCAGCTCGGCTAGCGCTGCTAGCCCTCCTCCGGATCTGCCAGTCTCCAGCTTGGCTGCTAGCCCTCTGCCTGTCTTGCCTGAAACCAGTTCTGCTAGTGCTGCTAGCTCCAGGCTGTCTGTTCCCCAGCCTGCTAACCCCAAAAGGACTTGTTCCCGGCCTGCTAGCTGCAGGGTGGGAGGCTTCTTCCTCTCCCGGCCTGCTAGCACCCAGCCTGTTAGCCGCCCGCCTGATTCCCTGCCGGCTAGCGCTGTTAGCCGCCCGCCTGGTCATCTCCCTCCTGTGTTGGCTCCAGCATCCAGACTGGTGGGGGACTCTTGGACATCTAGCTCTCTGGTTTCTTTTTTGATGGACTTGACTTAGAGCCAGAGAACCCAAGGACTGTTTGTCCCCAACCAGTCAGCCAACCAGCTAGCTGTCAGCCAGCTAACCCCCTGCCTGCTCCGCCTGATTACCGGCCAGCTAGCGCAGCTAGCCTATGGCCTTATAGCCTGGAGGCTAGGCTTCCCCCGGATTTCTCCTTTGAAGGGAGTCGCCTGGCCATCTTTTCAGGTTCCCGTGGTGGTCAACGGAGGCGACCAGGTTACCAGCAGCGACCCGTCAGCAACCAGCCTGATCACCAGCTGACTCCCGTTGCTCGTGCTCCGTCCGACCGGCACCTGCTTCGCTGGTGGCCCAGCCGACTCCTGTTCCCTCGTCGGTGGTCCAACCGGCACCTGCTTCGCTGGTGGCCCAGCCGACCCCTGTTCCCTTGTCGGTGGTCCAACCAACACCAGCTTTGTTGGTGGCCCAGCCGACTCCTGTTCCCTTGTCGGTGGTCCGACCTACACCAGCTTCGTTGGTGGTCCGGCCGACTCCTGGTCCCTCGTCGGTGGTCCGGCCGACTCCTGGTCCCTCGTCGGTGGTCCGGCCGACTCCTGGTCCCTCGTCGGTGGTCCGGCCGACTCCTGGTCCCTCGTCGGTGGTCCGGCCGACTCCT